AGGAAATGAGCTGATTAAGAACTGACAGTGTTTTTGTATGCTGAAATGAAGAGGAAGGGAAAAGACAGGGATGTATTAGAGAGCTGAAAGGAAAAGTTAAGGTTTTCATTATGAGATTAAGAGATGATTGGAACTTCTGGGAATAAACTAAGTCTCGCACTCATTATCGCATGTAGACGTAATACATGCATATGCCCTCCTTCCACCCATCATGATTAAAGTCTAATTAGGCTGCAATGCTTCAGTGTCTTGCGTGTGAAACCACATGATGTCCACACACGGACTACACTGTAAAAAAAAAAAATAATCTTGATTTTAACAGTAAATGCTACAGTGCAAAACTGTAAATTGGTTAACAGAAAGTTTCCATTCTATATATGGTAAATAACTGTGATCTCATGGTATATTTAATGTAATTTTACTGTAAAATGCCATTACAGTTTTTGAAAGTGAAAAGAAGAACTCATTGTATAATTTACAGTGAAAAAACGTAGTAACTTGACATTCCCAGAATACCCTGCCTGTGTGACACTTCACATTTTATGTATTTTTGTTGAAATAACTATGGTTACTCAGTTTTCTTGATATAGTTTATTACTATAAATTTTAAGTTAAGTCAGTAAAAACAATAACATTCACTGTTAGACCTTACCAGGTTTTTAAAAATTTACTGTAAAAATGCACTAAAGCTCAAGTTAACTAAAAAATACAACTTATTAGTTTTAGTGCATTTTTACAACACTGTTGCCAGTAATTTACTGTAAAAATGCACTAAGACTCAAGTTAACAAAAAATACAACTTATTAGTTTTAGTGCATTTTTACAGTAAATTACTGGCAACAGTGTTGCCAGTATTTTACTGTAAAAAACCTGGTAAGGTTTAACAGTGTTGCTACCATTTTTTTCCGGTAAAGTTCTGGCAACCACAGCTGCTGTTTTTTAACCGTAAAAATGACTGTAAAAAAGCTTAATATTTGAATACATAAGTTTAAATTATGAGCCGTGATAAGCAGGAGTTTGATGATTTCCTCCTGTTCCAAGTCTCTACGGCTGTGTTACAAGAGTCAGTTCTAATGCTCGACAAGTGCCGTGTCTCTACAGCAGAAGCTCATACTCAGCTGGATGAGAAGCTGACATGAGAGATTTCTGAATGTGGGATCATGTAGTTAATAAAAGACATGAATTTCTGTCCAGATCCCTACATATTTGAAATGTAGAGATCATCTTTGTTTTTTCATTTGTTTTAATATTACATTTTTATAATTTCATTAATTATCAGCTGCAGTTTCCTCACCCCGGTTTGGGAAACCCTGATCTAGCTCACTTGTACAATATGCCACTTGTATATGAGCAAATAAACACAGCTTTGGTTTAAGCATAAGAGACTTTAAAAATATATTTAAAACAAACCTTAAACCAATTCTAAACTTTTTAGTAGTGTACGTCAGTAAAGAAACTGAGACATATCACAGGAAGCACAAGCTTTGATTAACTATTACATTCTTGCATGGATGAATTGTTGATATTAGTAACATGTAAAAGAAGACACTGAATCACTGTGACTTAAAAACTGGATTATTGCTTTGATATGATTGAAATTGAATCCATGTAAATGTACTTATTGACAAAGACAATATGGGTTTGAGTGTGCTGTGAGTGTGAACTCAAACACACACTAAACAGTGCTGGTTATTTTTTCTGTTTCGGTGTTGCTAGATTCACCAGGAAACAGAACAGTCTGTGTGGAATGTGATATGACAGAGGGTCATTTCATATAAGCCTGTCAGGACTAATTTTGTTACCCTGGTGACATGTCTTTTTATGGATGTCAGAGTTCCAACACCCTTCTGTCATACCAACTGTCATTCTCTCCTTCAGTCTGATGGCCTTTGAATGAAAGGGTCTGTATTTGAACAGAACAACAATGGCTTGTTGCATGAACGAGGAAAAGCATGAGTTCAATTCTCACAAGAAGCTGGATTAACAAATATGATTCAGTGCACACACAAATTCACAGCTCTCCTGCTGATCATGCCTCCCCGCTGTGGCCAGAGACTTTATGCAGGCTCTATGTGTCTTTTTGATGTTAAAACAAAGACAGAGGGAGAGATGAGGGGGAGGTCGGGAACATGGGCAACAGTAAGCAGAGAGAAGAGATGTAGGGCTTCTTAACATGACTTTACAGCTAACCTTGACACTTTCTTTTTTCTTTTTAGACCCATGATGCTGATCTATACACAAGATATTCTCCATTCATTTTAACCAATAAAAAAAAATAATAAATAAAATCGATTGAGGTTCAGGAACCTGACTGATTGGTGCATCTCACATCCGATCCCGAGGGGTCTTAAAGTCGGCATGAAATCAATTTTGACGAATCTTCTTTTTACATGTACTATTGTTATACGCTTATAATCTTTAATCAAATACATTACTCTTCCCTCCATATCGAAACGACCTCTCTTCTATTTTTTCTATTTTTTTATTATTTCGGTCACGTGGAACGGCGAAAGGGTGTGGCCAGATCTGATGAGGGTGCGGCAATCGGTGAACCGCCTCTCAGAGAATCGCATTCAAATCTGCCTCCATTTTGTTTGCGACACCCAACCTCCAACGATCCAATCAATTCCCAAAGCACAAAATCAAGCTCTGCCTTACATTTCTTTTTTCTAATTTCAGAAGCCGTTTCACTCGGATATGTCACAACAAGTAAAAAATGACAATCTCAACTTCCGTTTCATGCCGACTTTAATACACAGACACACAATTATACTGTTATATTTAGCGCTACAGCATTACGACTATATCAAAACACTTTTTCCAACTGTTTTATTATAAAAAAAAAAAAACTGAACATAAAGGACCTAATATTTCTGTAGAGAATATATTGAATATTTGTACTTTGTAAAAATGTGAAAAAATATTTTAAAATACAACTGCACAAAACCTAAAAAAGGATTAAACATGGTAAAAAAAACACAAAATAATGGTGACTATAGTTCTAGCAGCTAAAATATACAGTACACTTTCCCATTATGCATTCATATACGACATTCAATTGAATAATTATTTGTAAAATAAATAAATAAACTACTACTCAAACAAATATGTTGGGCAACCTAATAATAAAAAGATTGGGATTTAATAAATGATGTAGATAAACAGAAAATCAGATAGCTTATAGTGGACTCACTCCAATAATAAAGATTCTTTATTGGAAGAAACTTCAACATCTATGGAAACTTTCCATTGCACAAAAGGTTATTTATCGTGAAAATACAAGGCTTTTCGGGTTATTAAAAATGTTCTTCACATGAAGAAAAATTGGTTATTTTAAGAAATGTGAAAGGTTCTTTAGGGGAAACAAATTTGGTTCTTCTATGGCATCACTGCAAAAAGCAATTTTGTAAACTTTGTTTTTAAAGAGTGTAGGTAGGTGATGGGTGATATAAAGAATTGTCAGCACAAATACATTTTGAAGAATAAAAAACATAGCACTTTCTGCACAAGGACAAGCACACATGCTGATCATCCAGCTGCACTGCTCACACCATTAATCCAGACTCTGATTGGTTAGTAATTCTGCAGAGGTCCATTATGCACCAGCCGCCCAGTGAGGAGAACACCATGTTCACCAACTCACTGGTGCTTTAACTTCGGGCATGGACACGGGCGATCTGCCCCCACCACAACCCAGAGGCATATACAAGAAAATCCATGAAATGCATATCAAATCATACTGATACGAGAACCAGCAGAGCTTTCTCATGGCCACATCTCATGGTCTCCTTATCTGCTGCATGCACTACATCAGTGTCTGAATGATCAGCAAGCCCTGTTGTTTGACCTCTGACCCCAAAGCTAGTTATCTTTGTCACCACATGTCCAAGTCCCTTCTATATTAGCCTACTCTTTCACAACCACAAATAAAACTTTTACATATGCCGTATATTCATGACTTCATAAATATTCACAGTAGCCGGAATTAAATGTTACGATGTTAATACTGTCCTACAAAAGTTCCTTGTACAGTAAGGAAGAGTCAGAGGTTTTTGCTTATGAGCTTATTAGGGAACAAAGGCAATGTAGTTGAATGTCAATGTAGTTGTACCTCTATGTTATTGGTAAAAGTCACACTGGGTATTTCAGCTTTGAGCTTTCACACTTCAGCTAACCTTCATCTGACAAATTTCAGAAGTTCTTTTCTTTCTGAGTCTTTACTATCACAATCTAAATCTTAATAAAAATAGAGCATACCAAGGTCTTTGAAATGCAATGCAAGAAGAAGCAGCAGGGTATAAGAACATGAACATAACACAATAAAAATAAACAAACATGTACAAAAAAAAATATGTGCAACAACAAACACAAATAAACAAAATATGTGTCAATTACAACATACAAAAATTCAACATTTAGCCTCTGATGAAAAACCATGGCAATTGTATATTGGACAAACTGCATTACATATGTATCCATCTCTAAAGTATACTGTTGCCAGGGACTGTAGAAAAGATTTGCTCTTATTAAGATTAAGTAGCAATTAGTCCTGTCTGAAAATCTAACAAGGATGCATTAATGCATACTAGTCAGAAACAAACAGCCTGTTGAAACAAGTTCACACAGAACATCAGACATTAGTAAAATGCACATGAATTTATCTGATCTCTTTCAATCATTTGGCTTCATTCTGCTGCAAGATGTGGCAATTCACCAAACACCGTATTTTTTTTGGTGAGCTCACCTGAGCCCAAGCAATAAAACAGTGAACCCTTCCTCCAGAATTATTCATAGGCCATTTAATTTCGCAGTTGGTGAATATTGTTCCGCAGGCTCTCTTTGATGAGGAGGAGAATTGAATTATAAACTAAGAGTCAGGCGCGCGTGATGTGATTGCTGACTCTGCAGTTACTGGGGTCACAAACGGCGCGTAATATCACCTCTCTGTTCAGGGGAAACGAACAAAAATACACGATGTTTCAAGAATAAAGACAACTTACCGAGAATCCTGCCCAAAAAGGACACGAATGTCTCACCCTCGGAGATGTAGTAAGGGCCAAAGCGGCGAAACTGACAGCCAAAATGAGACTCCCGAGCACCATCTGTGAAACTCCCAGAGAAAGCATGATGCGAGTCCGGGTCCGAAACTCCCTCAGCCGGGAGAGACTGCGGGACAGAGATACTGGGCTCAGAGACCGACCCCTCGGCATTGCACTGACGGGCATGGTCACGACTAAACAGTTTAAATTAACCAAAACTTGGGTTAAATCAGCGGGCTTCGGGATTACAAGACACCTCTGGGTTTAGTCACTCCGACATCCACAAAGTAAAGATGAATGCATAGCGTGTTGCCAAGACGCACAGACCATTATCCCGTTACACGAGGAAGCTCACGATGCCTCACTGAGGATAAGTGCGCTGTTTTCAAGCAGGTGTTTTACCGAGCGTTATCCAAAATCATTTCAATAAGACAAAGAGGTAAGCTTTGCGAAGAAGAGCGCTGAATGGCCCTCTTCGAGGAAAAATGCACGGGATAGGTGATCCATCAAATCCATTCACAGCAGTGACAGTCCGTTAATGAAATACCTCACGGCTCTGAACTGAGAACACCGTATTCAATGAGAACGAAATTCGCATCTATCGCGCCTATGTAGGTACGCGCTGCGTATGACGCGTTTCCAACCTCCGACTCCAGTGTAGAAATGTTCGCTCGGTCTTTGCGTGCAGCCGCAGCCTCGCGCTGGTAGTCTATCAGTTGGAGGTGTGTGTGTGCGAGCAGGTGCTTGTGTAGAGGAGGAGGAGATCGGACTGACGTGTCGCCATATGTAGATTCAGATGGATGTGGGCAACGAACTCGCTTTTGGAACCATAAAAGCCGCGAATAGATGATATGAGTCTACTTAAACTTACTTCTTCATATTGTTACTTTTCATTAAACTCGTTTGTTTAAGACAGAATAATTAATCGGATAATTTAATTTGTTGTGTGTGTATTCTTCGATAAAAAGCCATCACGGTCCGTCCATGCCATGGCTCTGGTCCGTGCCACCACCGAGCAACGCGCAAACTGAAAGCAGGTCTGGAGCCACGTGTGTGAGTGGAGCGGAGCGAGAGAGAGTTCCCGTCACCTGATCAAGGCGTTCTGTTTTGATTCTACAGGAGTTCCTTTCCGGGTTTTCCATTTCTCACAGCGAGAGAAACCCGTTCTGATATCATGGGGCGACGACGGGGTTTCTCGGTGGACAAATTTATTTTACTCTGCGTCGATTTGTGAGATAAAACACCGACGTTTCGACTAAAAAACAGCTCTGCAGTCTGCACTGACCTAACTTACTGGTGTTAGTTAAATCTCAATTAACAACAGCACAAGTGACCCAATGCTTCGTATGCTTGAAATCGAAAAATGGTTATTTCCGGCCAATCACATTTGAGGACCGGAAAAAGTTATACGTCATACTTTTTTTTTTTTTTTTTTTTTTACAAATTTTAATCCAAATCAGTACATGACCAAAATTTACTTGTACGTTTGGGTTTTCCATTTCTCACAGCGAGAGAAACCCATTCTTGCTATTATGGGGCGACGATCTGATTTTCCAAAACCGGGTTTCTCGGTGGACAAATTTATTTTACTCTGCGTCGATTTGTGAGATAAAACACCGACGTTTCGACTAAAAAACAGCTCTGCAGTCTGCACTGACCTAACTTACTCGTGTTAGTTAAATCTCAATTAACAACAGCACAAGTGACCCAATGCTTCGTATGCTTGAAATCGAAAAATGGTTATTTCCGGCCAATCACATTTGAGGACCGGAAAAAGTTATACGTCATACTTTTTTTTTTTTTTTTTTTTTTTTACAAATTTTAATCCAAATCAGTACATGACCAAAATTTACTTGTACGTTTGGGTTTTCCATTTCTCACAGCAAGAGAAACCCATTCTTGCTATTATGGGGCGACGATCTGATTTTCCAAAACCGGGTTTCTCGGTGGACAAATTTATTTTACTCTGCGTCGATTTGTGAGATAAAACACCGACATTTCGACTAAAAAACTAGCCTGGCTGCGCCCTCCTACGCACTTCCGCTCAATTTCATTTTACTTCAGTACTACAAATGAAATGTACTAGAGTCTGGTTGAACCAGGCTACTAAAAAACAGCTCTGCAGTCTGCACTGACCTAACTTACTCGTGTTAGTTAAATCTCAATTAACAGCACAAGTGACCCAATGCGAAATCGAAAAATGTTTATTTCCGGCCAATCACATTTGAGGACCGGAAAAAGTTGTACGTCATACATTTTTTTTTTTTTACAAATTTTAATCCAAATCAGTATCATGACCAACATTTACTTGTACGTTTGCACGAAAATATAGTATTAATATAGTACGTATTTTACAAACGAACTGTGTAGTATGCATTAAAATGCAGATTGTTCTTATTTCATGTGAACATTTGCATGGCTGGAGTAAATAGCCACATTACCAGACCTGTTGAGCCTGTAAAAAATGTCAATGTCTGTCAACGCTTAAACATGTCATAATGGCCATATTTGGTAGGCTACATGTAATATTTACAGGGTCTGTAGTAAATATAGCCTATCTGTAAGATAACTGTCTCACATATCACACGTAAACATGTCAGCAGTCACATTTTTTAACAGAGGAAAACTACAGCCACATTTTCAATAATTAAAGGGATAGTTCACTTTGAAATTAATTTTTGATATGTTATAGCTTACCTCAAGGGCATCCAAGATGTAGGTGTCTCCGCAATGGTTTCAATTTTGATTGAAAGGTCTAACCTGTCTTGTCTGTGTCAGTCATATTTATATGACTATAATGCAGGTCTGGTCACCACCTCAAAGAGCATGCACAGAGAAGTTCAAATTAAACATGATTTAATGACTCGTAAATGTAAGTAGGCTACACATTGATGGCCTAAGACACGAAACGAGCGGTTTGTGTGAGAAAACTAACAGTAATTATATCGTTTTACCTCTTGTAACGTCCAAATGATCTAGGCCTACGAGTGCTTTGGCGTCAGAAGTGATCTCTCGTGCGGTTGCGAAAAAAATTCAATGTTGTCAGTTAATAGCCTATATCAAAATAGTCTTCCATTGCGATTTCCTGTATAACGTTATCTAAATATGTTTAGATCTTCACAGTGAAAGGTAACTCTTCCGAAATCTCTGTGTAAACAATGAGTGACGTACACAAGCGAGAGATCACTTCCGGGACTTGCAGACCAAAGCGTCCACGGTGTAAGATTGGACTGTGGTTCCAAAAGGTAAAGTTTTCTCACACAAACTGCTCGTTTCGATTCTATCAAATGCTCTCTGGGGTGGTGACCATACATACCTCCATTATATGACTGACAGACAAGAACAGTTTGACCTAAAAATATCAAAATTGAAACTACTGCGGAAACAACGACACCTACATCCTACACCTAATCTAAAACATACCAAAACATGAATTTGAAAGTGAACTATCCCAGGCTTTGACTGACTGATATTTTATAGATTTGATTTAAATCTACTTCCACATGAAACAAAAAGTTCAAAGTTTGTTTTCTTCAGTTAAAAGAGGAATAATATTATTATTAATAATATTTCTTTAAACAAGGCATGCTGTTTCATTTGGGTATTAATGGAGTAGAAGTGATCATATAGCTGGACTTGATTTAACCATCGAATAAAGGTACAGTAATATTAAAATCAGTTTTACAATGGCCAGACGCAATGAACGTTGTGAATGAATCTGGCAGTAAAGCATTTGCGCCATCTGCAGGCCATCAAGTGTCACTACACACTATACCGCAGTCAGTGTGCTGTCGCAATGAAACATTTTGAAAGTCACCTTGCTCCTTTGCAATGGCAAACTGCATTTTCTGTTAAGCCATTTTTATATTGCACCAACAACTACAGAAAAATCCCCAATAAAATGACACCAGTGTATTTTAAAAATGATTTATTTTTTTAATACAGTGGCAAACTGGAAATTGTGTTGAAAAGGGAACAAACTCTGCCACATGTGAATAGCTAATGACCAGTCAAAGCTGTGTTATAATGTCTAAAGAAAAAAGAAGTCTTCCGGTGTGCCATAATAAATCTATTAGTACAAAAATACATTTCAGGACACACAATGTAGCATCCAGTATCACAAATAATGCATGAACACATTTCAAGCACACCGTTTAAAAGAAACAGGTTTTGAGAATAGTTTACATCAAGCACTTTTTGTAAATAAAGAATAAAAAGATGGTTATTGTTAAAAACCACTTACGTTTAGTGTGTATCTGTAGAAAATGTGATATTATTACTGCCAAGTACACGTTCCAAGGCTCAAGGGTAGAACCAAAATACAAAGACAACAGTTTTAATTTCATTCATCCTCTTTTATAAACGGTTTCCCCCTTTTAAGTTTTATACAAAATAATAAAGACATACAAAAAAAAGTCATTTACAAACCAAAAATGAAGGCAATATGCTAGCTTTATGTACAGCCAATCGATATCCGTCCTCCCGTCTTTTATTTGTGTTTCTCTTTAAAAGTCATGTGCATAGCAGATAAAAAGAGAAAACCTGTTCTTAGACTTCACGCTGTTCATGTGCGCAACACCCATGTTTATTTCTACAGCGGGTTGACAAAAATGGCAGAGAGACAACTTCAGTTTCTTCATAATATATCTTTAGAACAACTTAGCAAAAAGAAACCAAAAAGGTTTTTGTTATTGAAAAAAGTGTGTCGTTTCAGATAAGGCATCACTGCTTTAGATGGAGTGTTTGAGAGAGAGAGGGAGAAAGAGGGAGTGAGGAAGAATCTGGAAGAGAAAGAGGGGAGAGGAAAGAGCAGCAGTCTTCACACCTGAGTCAAAGCACATGCATAGATCTCGACACAGCAGGAATGTTCCAGTGCTCAAGTTCACAGGTCTGTGAGGAGGCTAGTGGTGTCTACAAAGGAGCCATTTAAAAAAGGTGAGCCTTAAGTGACGTGTCCTTGGCTAGAAAATTTCATACGGTATATTCTTCATATGCCAATTCTCTCCGACTCTTTCCTTAAAGCTCGTATCTAGCACTGAATCCTGCACCTTGACATGATAAAAGTCATGAGGAAATGTGTCAGATGTACACTTCGACTGCTCGATTGAAAATCCTAAAACTAGAATTCGATATTCTAGAAAAGTTGCACTATACATTATAATCATAACGGTATAGTGTGCATACTATATAAAGTGAAAATACATTTGCAGATGTATATAGTCTATACGTGTAAGTAGCCTAGGCTGAATGGAAGAACCTAATACATCCTTTAAAAAATATACACAAGTTGTGTGTCGCAAAATATTACAGTTGGCTTACAGTGTGAATATTAATTGGTCAGTGGCACAGAGCATGCAGTCCATCGATGGTTAATGTCTGTTTTTGTTATCCTCGAAAGCCTTTAAAAGCACTTTTAAAAAAAAGAAGTGAAAGATAAAGCAAACGTGAAGAGGACGATGAGGAGATTAAAACAGCACTTCATAGAATGTAACCCTCCCTCCAGTCTCTGAGGTTACCGTAAACAAAGCCAGAGCACAGTCAGGAGACCCTTCATTTAGTGTAGCATAGTGCGTAGCCTTCATCTTGTGTGTACTGTATGTATGAGTATGTGTGTGTGTGTGTGTGTTCATAAGGGGGAAGGTCCTCTCTTTTAAACTGGTTCCACATTCAGTAAAGGTTGCCCTCCTCAGAAATGGTCAATAAGCACAGACACACAGTTGGCTCCAACCAGGTAGTTGGGATCTCCAGGGAGTGATTTGTTCTGCCAACTCTTAGGATCACCTGGATAAAGAACAGAAAATGCAGATGAATATGACTGATGAATTTGAGAGTAAGATCAATCACCACATTCAAAAGTTTGGGATCAAACTATTTATTCAGGAAGGACTTTTATTCTGCAAAGATGCATTAAATTGATCAAAAATGACAATAAAGACTTTTACATTGTTACATAAAAATATATATCAAATAAACGCTGTTCTTTTTAATCTAATTGTTTAATAATTCTGAAAAAAAAAATAGCACACAGCACTGTTTTCAACATTGATAATAATTATTAGGACCATGTGACACTAAAGACTGAAACATTACATTTAAAAAAATAAATTAAAATAGAAAAGTTATTTTAAGTTATTATTGTTTTTACTGTATTTTAGATCCAATAAATGCAGCTTTGGTGAACATAAGAGACTTCTTTCAAAAACATTTTTTAAAAATCTTGCCGACTCCAAACTTTTGAACAGTCATGTACGTATTATACATCACGTATATGCAATGACAGAACATAAAATTGAATTAAACCTTAAATTAAGCCACATGCATGCTTGTTTTCTAGTCAGACCCACGATTCTAAAGCCAACAAAACACTAAAGATGTAGCGTAAAACAAAACACACATTTTGACAAACTTAAAATTCTAAACAAGGTGCATCATTTTTTAGCATATTTCAACAGCTGTGTCAGTACAATATTGTGCAATTTTAACTATTGTTCTCTTTGGTTTGCATGAGGAAAAAGAGACGAGAGTAGCAGGGCGCTCTGAGATAAGACAGGCTCTCAGCATGCGTTATTTGTTCTGATAGAGATAATCAGCAGAGCCAGAGCAATAACCAATACGCTCATAGACTAAAGTGCTGTAATGCATAAGAACAAGGTTGTTTTTTCATTCATCAAGGTGAAGTGTGCAATTTCGGTACCACTAGCGGCACCAAACAGTATGCATGGGGACAAACAAACTGTTCTGTTTAGTGGTTTTATGGTTAATAAATTGCGCACTTTATTTTCAAAATTGAAAAAAAAAAAAATCATAATTTTTTTGCTCATTTATAGAGGACCTCAAGATTCCAGTGCTCTTTTGCACTCTAATGTGAACTCCATCAGAACAACTTATGTGTTAAAGTAGTTAGATAAACGTTCTCTTTCCAAGCGAGTGCAGGAGAATTTGCCTTGAACTATGGATAAATGATGGCCTTGTTTTAAAATATACAGATTGGTTTGGATGAGGCAGGAATCTCCAATCGGTCCACTGCACATTCAGAACGAGAGGTTAATACAGGGTGGTCTGAGGTTTAAGAGTTATATAGAGACAAATTAATGAAACAAGAGAGTGAGAAATTAAGACCCAGGGGAAAACATTTGCTGAACTCCATTAGCGGGACGAAGGCAATTCCAGCATCTCTGCATATTCAGACATTTGGGTGGCTGTGTGAGAATCAGTTCAATACACAAATAATATTATGAGTGATAGTAATATTATGATTAATAGATGAGAATTGCCATTGGCTGATTCATGAAATCATGAGACTCAAGTGAATATGGCAAACAACCTATTTTGTCAACGTGCATTTGAAGATCTCTGATTATTTAACTAACCTTGAGAGAACAAAAAGGCCCATGAAACGAATTTGTCCAGTGAAAACTACTCATGCTGAACAAAATGCTAAATTTGTTGGGCCTTGCAAAATACAAACCATCTGCCAAAACAAATTTACATTCTCTAATGCAAAATATCAATTCAGTAAAATATAATGGATATGTTGTCATTCACTAATGGACCAATTATTGATTTTTTAAATATTTTTTAAAAAATTGAAATTTGTCAATTTTTTTTTCTTAGTTATCACAACCAGTTCCTTTTATGGAAAATCTAAATGTGTAACATGTATTCCCTAGTAGAATATACACTATCGTTCAAATGTTTGGGGTCAATTTAAAATAACTGTTTTCTATTTCAGTACATTTTAAAATGTCATTTATTCCTGTGATGGCAGTCGTCGGTCAAATGATCCATTAGAAATGCTGAATAATAATACTTTTGTGGAAACATTTTACTTTGATGAATAGAAATATCTTTGTAATATTATAAAAGTATTTACTGTCGCTTTTGATCAATTTAATGCATCCTGTCTGAATAAAACTATGAAAGTATGACCCAAAACTTTTGAACAGTAGTATAATGTGCATGTATCCAAATACCTAGATGATGGAAATAATAGATTTATTGTAATGTAGGGTGAATTATCACACCCGGTTTTAAAATAGACACTTGGTTTAATTAGACCTTAAAGGGATACTCCACCGGTTTTTCATATTAAACTGTTATTCCCTTAACTGAGACGAGTTGATGCATACCTCTGTTGTCTCAGTGCGTACACTCAATCACTCTAGCGCGTGAGACACTTTCATAGCACTTAACTAGCCCAGTTCATTCAATATGGGCCAAGCAGAGAAGCGACCAAACACTTCCACGTTTTCCCTATTTAAATACAGTTACTCGAGTAGTGTAACTCGATCTAGGACGGTGACAAAATAAAATGTTGCGCTTTTCTAAGCGTGTAAAGTGGATAACTATAGACGAATCCGACGAGCGTTCTTGTGTAGGCTGCCATCTTGTGGCGACGCCATTACTGAGCTGTTACACCGGCATAGACATATGCACCGGTATGTAAACAAACCTCGGAGATAAGGTGATAACGCACCCTTAATGACAGCTAGAGCCAGGCAGACTTGTTGGGTTGATGATGTTAGACATTGGCCTCCAGTCACAGATGAAGGTACAAACGATCTTACAGATTATTTATGAAAATAGCTTGGCAAGCAAGCTAGGCTAACGTTTGCTACCGAGGAAACTAAAAAAAGATCTGTCCATTTGGCAACAATAAATAAATAAATAAATAAATGAAATCAAATAAACAATTTCATGTTTTTCATTTGTGTGCATTATTTATCTAATTTTTACATTGCAACGGGCATGGGTAAGGTAACGTTACAGCTAGAAAGTATACATAATATCGACCAACTACTGTTTTTAAACCATGGAAAGAGGTCAATATAACAGCAGGAGAACAATTGTGTCACATAACGTTACATTCAGCTCAGGAAAGCCATTTAATGACCATATTGAATAGAAAAAATAACAAGAGAGGAGATTTTGCTGATCACTATATCACACATTTATTATATTTTTTTTACGTATGTCATTAAATAATTGTTATTATACGCGAATGTCCGCGTCTTGTACTCGCCCAGGAAATCTGTGTAAACCGTACGACACCAGACAGGGGCAGTCAACCCGGGGTATTCACAATGTTTTCTCTTCAAAATTGAAATTTTACTGCCACCATTGAAACAATTTATAACGGAAACTGTTTACCCACTCGACATTACACAAGGGCTAACGTTGTAACGTTAGTGACAGTCGTAAATCGCGAGCTGTTTATTCCAGTGGACGCAAGTTGCAACTAAAACAATAGAAGGCAATGGCGCAACACTACCCAGCAACAGCTCAGTAATGGCGCCCGCTTACTTCCGGTAGTTTCGCCGGATTCGTCTATATTGTATGGCGGAATACCACAGCAAGTGCTTGGAAGCACTTCGACTCGGCGCATATTTATCTATGGACTCGGCACAATAATAACATCACTCCGGAGAGTGAGGGGGGGAAGAGGACTTTTCACGAGTGATGATATTACTGCGCCGAGTCGAAGTGCTCCCAAGCACTTGCTGTGGTATTCCGCCATACAATATAGTTATCCATTTTACAACTTTTTATTTTGTGTCACCGTTCTAGGTCAAGTTACACTACTCGTGTAACTGTATTTAAACAGGGAAAACGTGGAAGTGTTTGGTCGCTTCTCTGCTTGGCCCATATTGAATGAACTGGGCTAGTAAAGTGCTAACAAAGTGTCTCGCGCGCTAGAGCAATTGAGTGAGAGAGGTAAGTATCAACTCGTCTTAGTTAAGGGAATAACATAGTTTAATATGAAAAAAAAAACGGTGGAGTATCCCTTTAAATAAACCACATAAATGAATGAGCGGACTGGAATTAGTGAGTGAGATAAGCTAAATGACTCAAATATTAGTCATATTTAGTGGTATAATACTGAAAAGAAATGTTAACAAATGACTGGTCATATGGAGGTGTGAATAAGAAAATGCATAATGGAAAAAAAAGGCCCACAACCAAACAAGTTGTCACAAAGCCATCCCAAACGACCCCAAAAGGACAGAGAGAGGACAGCGTACCCGACGAGGAGTCGGAGGATTTTAGAGCAAAAGACCAACCATCAGGGGTCATAGACGCACAGTGAGGTAGGCGGAGCTCCACTGGCTTCAGGAACTTCAGACCGTGAGGACCACACATCACCAGAGGACTCAGCAGAGTTTCACCTGGAAATAAAAACTCTTTCCTTTAGCATTTGCTCTACACTCAAGCACATAACTGTGTATGAAAAGACAATGTTTCTCAAAAAGCTACAAATGTAGTACTGATAAGCTCACTTGCATTTTGAGTACAGGTCAATTCATGTATCAATTTCTGTATCAAACTTTAAAAAAGAATCAGTCTCATCTAATGCCGGATTACCAGGTTTCTTTCACAGAACAGAAAAAAAGACAAAAATGTCAGAATCTTCTGACCACCGAGTTAAAAAGATGCGTGACTGACCTTTCTCTTTGTCCAGAGGAGGCAGGATGCTGTTATCCCGACACACTTTGAAGTAAATCTCTTGCTCCACGCCATCAGGAATCGCTCCCTGAGGGATGATGATGCTCACCCCCGTCTCAATGGAGCTCAGAACCCCGCCGTTGGAGTTGAAGATGCCCCGCGCCGTCGCCACCACCGTGTGGCTGTCATCATCATCGTCGTCCTCCAAAGCACTCGGGCTGGAAAGAGGGAAAAGAAAATAAGATAAACCTACTTTTTGACTCCTTTGATCTTTATTTTTTTTTTTTAAATATAAAAAAAAAAAAAATGAAAATTAAAATTATTAAAAAAAATATATATATATATATATATATATATATATATATAAAACAGAAAACAATATCAGTAGACAAATATCTAGTTCTACTGATTGTAATGATTTTCTGTTTTGTGTCCTACATTTAGTAACATAAAATAACTTTATGAATTAAGTAATATCTAATTTACTTCATGTTATAGTTTTAGCACGAAAAAAAAAGTAAGCTCGACAATTATGGAGCTGGAGCTAGAGCTACGTGTGACCTGCCCATGATGTGTGAGCTACTGTCTTGTATGTGTGTGTGTTACAATGCAGCGGCAGATTCGTTTAAAACCGTAATTAACTTATTTGTACAAAAAGCTGCTTAAAAAGTGCATTCTTCCATTTCTTTTGGAAACAGAGCATAAAAGTGTACTTCAAAGATTTCTTATACGGTTGGCCTCTATAGGCCATGGTCAGCAACTAGTCGACATCAATCTTAAAGCATCATAGCAGAGTATTAAAGTCGACTTGTCTGTGTAACCCCTATGATCTTCATGAATATGAATGTTTCAAAATATCAAATTATGATGAATAATGTCACTGACAATTACGGAGCTAGTTTCTAGTGTACCTGACAGGTATTGCCTTGGGTACAGCGTTGATGTTGTTCTGCTGGTATTTCGGTTTCTGGTCCATGGTGCGGGTGAAGGTGTCCAGTCCGCTGTCATGGTCTGTCGAGTGGGATGAGCTCTGTGGTTTGGCTGTGGTACTGATAGGAGCTTTCACATTATCTTTCATATTTTGAGAGTCATTAGGCAAGAGGTTGTGGTTGAACTTGGGGCTGTCAAACTTGCGTTCGAAGGGCCTTGCAGAGGTGGTGTACGGCTTGGGCACAAAACGGTTGTAGCTGGACGTGGCAGTGCTGTTGGTCTTTGGAGGTTCACCGGTGCCGTTAACAGGAGATTTCTCTGGGAAGCTTTTCTGAGGCAGGTAGGTGCTCTGAACTTTGTCTTCATGACTTGGAGGCTTCACTTTAGGAGATCCGTGTGGGTCTAGCGGTGGGGTCGCTATGGGTAAGAGGAAGTATATGTGAATAAGTCTCTTACTGTATGTTCACCAAGGCTGTATTTATTTGATTAAATATAGTAATACTGTGAAATATTATTACAATTTATAACACATTTCCATTTTAAAAATAATTCATTCTTCTGATGGCAAAGCTGAATTTTCAGCAGCTATTACACCAGTCTTGTCTCATGATACGTCAGAAATCATTCTAATGCGCTGATTTGGTGCTCAAGAAACAGTTCTTATTATTATCAATGTTGATAACAGCTAGATTAATATATTGGGGAATTTTGGAAACCATGATAAATTTCTTCCAGGATTATTTGATCCATAGAAAGTTCAAAAGAACAGCATTCTTTATACACATATATTATTATTTTTATTCTTCCATTCACTTACCTGCAGGTTTAGGCAGGGTCGGGGGTGGGACCGCTGGGTTGGCTGGAGCAACAGGGTTGATCTTCTCCACTGACTCTGTCCTGTAGCAGACAGACAAACAAACAATAAAGTCCAGATTCAAAGTCAGATGCCATCTAATTTTATGTTACAAATTCTAGGAAAAATGATAATTTACTTGCCAATATCAACATTTCTATAAATACACAAAATCTGTTGAAATAACAACATAAAGCAGAGTTGAATTTTTGTATGGTCAAGTATTTGATCGTGTACCTGGGGTAGTACCCTGGTTGGGTCTGGGGTTGGACTGGCTTGATGGCAGGTGTCAGCTGTGCGGAGGGTTTGCTATCAAAGCTTCGGCGGTCGAAGTAAGACAGCTGTTTCCTGTAGTACTCCTCATCCTCCTCAGGGTCATTGTTATTCGAGCGAATGATATCATCTGCTGCCTTAGGGTGGGGCTGCTGTGGCTCTGGAGATCTGACAGATCAAAGAATCATGTGCACCTTAGTTGCAGCAATAATTTCAATAAAAGTGCCCTAATATAATCAAATGTGCTGAATAATATTTTTGTGGAAACCATGATACAGGATTCTTTTTCTGAATAGAAAGTTTAAGATAAAAACAGCATTTATTTGAAATTGAAATGCCTGTAAACATTGTAATGTTTTGGTTACAAAAGTGTTCTTTATGTAGACACAAAAGATGTTTGTGGCTGCAAATGTATTGATTTTAAGTGCTAGTTCATTACCTAAAGGCCTTCTCTTGGTCCAGGTTACTTAAAGAATTGGCTTTGGGCACAGAGGCAGCGCCAGGTTTAGGCACCATGTCCACAGGCTAAGGGAAGCAGAAAAAAATTACCTTAATTATTCAGTCTGTTGAGTGTATATTTAGTGAGAAGAAACACAGACTACGCCAACTCACCCGAATACCAGAGTTTGTAGACTCTTTTGCTCTGTCCACAGACACGGATCGCTTGTTCTCAAATATCTTAACCCTTGTGAGCACGGACTGGGGCTTCATGGCTGGATCTTCCTCTGCCTCGGCTGGAGGAGGAAGTTCATGTTCTGCTGTAGGTGAGAGGGACTCCGGTTTGTGAGGGGACACAGAGGTCTCCGAATTCATGTAGGCCCTCTGTGGTGGTTGAGCGTAGGAAGGTCTCTGGGAGGGGTCGTAGTACTGTTGTTTGGGGGGCTCAGGGGAGCGGGAGGTGGCTTGAGTGTGAGGAAGTGGTTCTTGGTTGTACTGTGGCCGCGCAAGGGGTGGTTCGTCGTGTCGGACCGGTCCAGGGCTAGGTTTGCCATAACGAGGTCGACCCGTGTCGTAGCCCGTATCGTGCCGCGTCTTAGGGTGACCATACATGTGGTCTAGACCATCCTCGTACGGCATATGAGGGTCGTATCCAGAGGTGTGGTCATACGGAGCCCATTGCTCATCATACGGAGGCACGCTGTTTTCAAAATGTAGGTGAGGGTCAAAGTTACGAGCCTTTGATTCCATGTAGCCCCCATCATAGCGACTAGGCTGGTGGTCGTAATCTCTGTATGGCTTGTCTTCCTGGTAGAGGGGCTGCTGGGGGTTGTAGTTGGGCTGCATAGGGTTTTGGCTCACCTGCATCTGCTCGTTGGTTCGGTAGATATCCTTCTTGTACATCTGTTGGTAAAGGCAAAGCAGGAAAATTATGAACAAACTGTACAAAGAACTATACATTAAACTCAAAACCACAGCAATCAATTGAATTGAATGAAACGACAGAAACCAGAAGTGATTAATATTCGGATTAAAAGTTGAAGAATGAAGCACAGAGTCAGCAGAGAGACCTGCAATAGAGGAAGACTCAGAGTGGGCAGTTATTGAACAGGTCAAATGGAGGCAGCCATTACACAGTTTCAGAGTTTAAGAAAGATAAAATGACTCATGACACGCCAAGCTGCAAAATCATTGGGGTAAAAATCAGCCAGAAAAAAGTCCCACTGAAAAAGAAATCTACAAAAACAATTTGCTTCAAAAAATAAAATGTATTTTGAGAAGTAGCCTTTTAGGAACCAGCAGCTAAAATTTAGGATAAATAACCTAAATAATTGTTTTTAAATTAAACATACTGTTGATGAAAATATGAAAAGAAAAAAAAATATGAAAAGATTATTAAAGTAGAATGATCTAACAGGGGTTAAACGACTTCAGTTTTTTTTTTTTTTTAAATCGACATATATGTGATTAAAGTCGAGTTGACGTTGAATAGTCGCTGATGGCATCATTAATGAAGAAATAAGCTTTAACCTCCAGCTGAGACTCGAACGTGGGTTACATTTATATGAATGCATTAGTGAGAGAGGGATTACGTGTGAAATAATTCTACCTGGCAGCGTCTCTCTAGTAATAGTAAAGTTGTGGGTTTTAGTTACTAAGAAATATATGCTAGAACTTTTTAGTTTCTAAGCTATTTTATTGGTGAATCGCAGAACAGTGTTGACAATACATTTTGGCGCTACCGAGTGTACAAGTGATATGCCCGTGATGTGCAAGCTACTGTCTTGTATGTGTGTGCGTTACAATGCAATTACGGATTTGTTTAAAACAGCAATTAACTTATTTGTACAAAAAGCTGCTTAAAAAGTGCATTCTCCCGATAAATTTTAAGCTTACACATGGTATATTCAAACATAACTTGTCATGCGCTCTAGGAGTAAGCATTTATTTGTCATTTTAACTGTTGGAAACGGAGCGTAAAAGTGTACTTAAAAGATTTCTTATACTGTTGGCCTCCATAGGGCATGGCCAGCAACTAGTCGACATCAAGCTTAAAGCATCATGGCAGAGTATTAAAGTCGACTTGTCTGTGTAACACCTATGATCTAAATGAATATGAATGTTTCAAAATATCATATGATGAATAATCTCAAGGATTGTTCCATTATAAAGTTATGATAAATGACAAATGCTTCTACAGGTTTAAATTAATATATAATGTTTGAATATTTAGTTTAATTTCGAGCCCCGTGCAGAGCATGCAGGGGGGGAAAAAAGGTAATTAGTTTGTTTCTTAATTCTTGGCCATAACATGCATTTTTTTTGTTCTATAGTTTAATTTTCTACTTTCTATTGAAATATTTTTGTTGACTAAAATTAGATGCCATTTTAACATAAAATTGCTGAATTAAGCAATATGACATGATTAAAAACAAAAGAATATATATATATATATATATATATAAAGAATATGTTTGTTAGAAGACAAAAACTGGAAAAAAAAAGAAGAAAAAAACTACAAATGAACACTGTTGTAAAGGGCAAGGCTACCTTTCAAAGTCAATAGGAGGGGGGAAGATTCACTGTTTAAATCTAAATAAAGATCAATTTAATAATTAAATCAGTTTTCTCACATTCATAGCACCACTAGTATTTACTAACTCTACTTCAACAGGCAAAAGACTTGAAAAATAAACCCATGCAAAAGTAGGCAAGCAACAGTGGGGACCTGGGCTTGCCCAAAGATTCATGAACTATATGATCTGATGCACAAGGCCTCTATCATACCCACTGTTGTTTATAAACACACATACGCACAATCACAGAGAGAGAACAGACGCTCTCATATATAAGCACACAGCGCACATGCAAGAGCTAGAGGAAAGCACCGCAGCACACAGGCAGGGCAGACGGCGATAAGAGAGGGCACCGGGCTCGGGCGTTAAGAGGGCCGGTTTCAGTCCAGAGTGGGATGGCTAGCGAGGTACCTTGGACTCTGACCCAGGTTGTCCAGATTGGTTGGGGTCGGGAGACGGGGGTTGAGCTAGCTCAGGGGCAGGTGGGAAGAGAGAGCCAGCCTCTGGGCTGAAATCCCCCTGAGTGAGGGTGACCGGGAGATCCTTGGCACTCAGGGCCCCTACATTTACATGAACAGCAGGGGGCGCTGTCTCTGCCAGCGGCTCAGGCTGCGTTGGGAGAGCAGCCTCTGCTTTCTGTGAAGGTGTTCAAAAATGTTTAATACATGCGGTCAAAGCTCACCACTGCACTTCAGCTGTGATTCTCTTCTCTCTCGCCTGACACCAGTACTGTTCTATTAAGGGAATGTTCCAGATTCAATTGATGTTAAGCTCTATTGACAGCACTTGTCTATAAAAAATGTATCTTAATTGGCTGATATTGCATATTTGACCTTTGCTGTCATCTAATCTTTAAAAACACTAATAATGTATTAACACTGTTAAATACGACATTTAGCAAGAAATAAATAAATAAACCTGTACATTACATTCAACAGTCATCTGAATTTCATAAGAAATATGTATTGCATGATTACATGCTTATTACTGAATTTTTTAATAACAATGCATCTCTTTTAAAGTATTTCAAGGCCTACTGCCCTTCCTCTGTCAGTGCCTTAACTGCTAAGGTTATGCCACAAATGCTGTTCACACAGCTTAACTTGTACTGAATTAGGAACATCCCACTAACATACAGAATAGGATGATTTTGGGAACCATGTCATGTAATAATTTGCAACTAAACCAGGTTCTATTTTTACTGTAAGTCTGATGTCAGTTTAATTCTACAGTACAGTACAAGGTTTTGGCTCTTGTAATACAAGATCTAAGACACTTTTGATATCATGGTGGCCACTGGACCAATATAGATAAATACATTCACAGTTAAATATGTAACACTGTAATTCCATCATGCACATAATACTTTCTGGTAATGACATCATTTTGCATGACATATAAGGGGACAGCTAGACCACAAGGATGGGGTAATCGTTACACATTCTTAAAGATACAACGTCCTCACTTTCATTTCCATTGTGATCATATTGAGATAAGAGTCACAGCATCTACGTGAAGTATAACAGCCGAGCCATATTTGTCACACACACACACGCGCGCAGACTTTCACACAACTACACGCTCACAAATACATATAATAAATACGTGGCAACAATTATTACTTGGTCATTGTCACTTCTCTAGTACTGCAATGTACTACGTTTTTTTAAAGCATTCCTCCATCAAAAGCGCCGCTAGAACACTTTTCTCACGCACACCACGGCCTCCAGACAACAGGGAAGGCGTACGGCTCGTAGAAACGCTACCTGCTGAGGTGCAGGGGCCTTGAACCCTGCTGGGTCGATGCGGTTCAGCGGTTCAGGCTGGTACCCTCCATATCCAGGAGGTTCCTGGATGACGGGCAGGTCCTCCCGGACAGGCTCCGAGGAGCGTGTGATGGCGGGCTCGCTTGGGGGTCCAACCTCGTCGTTCAGGGTCTCGTCTAGTTCCTGGTCCGTGTAGGCTCCACCCTCTGTGTCAGTGTCCTCGTAGTCTGAGGTGTGACGGCTGTCCGTGCTGTACATACTGTACTCGCTACCAGGGGCGGACAGGTAGGACAGACGGTCATCGTGAATGTCCAGATCATCGTCAGGTGCGCCGTCCGCCTACGGAGATTCAGAACACAATGCAAAGAATTCAACAAGAGAGAGAAAGAGAGAAATGAAAGGGTGAAAAATTTTGTTGAGAAGGTGAAAGAGAGAAATGACATCATGTAGGTGAAATGTGTAACATTGGGGAATCTAACAAAAATATATATTTTGCAATTATAAAAAATAAAGCGTACATTTTAACAATATTAAAATAATAATTTGATAATTAGGCAAATTTTACAAAACTGTCAAAAATATTTTCAATTATTTATTCTCAATAATAGTGTAATATCTCACAGAATTAGTTAGAATTACAATACTACTAATACAATTTAAAAAAACCCAACTTAAATTAGCATAAATGAAAGGTAGTACTACAATGAAATATAAATACAATTCAAATAACATTCATTGTAAATAACATTACTGTAATAAGAACATGAGACTGTTATTATGGTATAATTTACATCATATTATAGTATTAATCAATATTTTGAATTAGGTTTTATTTTTATGCTTTCGTTTTAACTTTAGTTTAAGTTTCTAAATGTCTAGTTTATTTATTTGATTTGTTTTATTTATTAATTTTAAAATTTCAGCTTATTTTGTTTCCAAGGCATGGCAACATTTCTATTTTTTAAGTTTTTCATTAAATATTTATGTTTATATTATAACAGCAATTTGTAATAACAACAACACTAATGTGGGAATGAGCATCTCTCCTTTTTTGCTTATGCTAAAGTAACTATGCTCTGCAAATACAAAACCATGGACTCAGACAACCAGGAATAAACCCTGTCCCTGAAACCTCAAGCATCTGCTATTGAACTGAATTGGCTCCCTATTCAATATCATATACATTTTTTAAAATATTGCTGATTACTTACGGAGCACTAAATGGTTTAGGTCCCCGAGCTCTTTACGCATTATAGTCCTTTTCGCCTATCTGAAAATTCCGGCCAGTTGATATTAATCATACCTAGAATATCAAAGTCGACTGCTGGCGGTAGATCCTTTTCCTATTTAGCACCAACACTTTGGAACAATCTTTGTGAACGGTGTTGTGTAAGCGGCCCACAAGTTAATAACTAATGATCTTCGCAACGGACGTGAATCAATCATAACTAACTTTAGCTGGACAATAACTTATGCTGTTGTAAAGCCCAAACAATCTGTTAAAGCAATTTCTATTAGAACTGTAAAGTTTCTTTGAAACAATCTATACTGTTAAAAGCGCTTTATAAAAAAAGGTGACTTGAATCACAGTGGAAAAGTTCAGTGAAACTCACCTTGCCCTCTGAGACCCACACCAGCTGGTTCTGCTGCTGCTGAATGGTCTCCTTCAATCCTCCATACCATCCATCATTCATGTTGTTCATGTTAATGGTGGCTAGAGGACAGTGACAAGAAGGAAGACATCAAATCACTCAAGAGAGATTCCAGCTAAGACAGGTTTTTTGCAACAAAAAAAAAAACACACAAAAAAAACAATAAGCTCAAAAAAATTAAAAACAAAACAAAACTCCTCAATGTCTGTAGCATAAAACCACTCATTTATATGCTCATTAATTCATCAAAAGATGGATCATTGTTGGATTCTCTTTCTCTTTATGACTGAGCAAAGTTATCTTGTTGCAGTTACATTTACATTTATGAGGCTTTTATTCAGTGATATACAAATGAGGAATGATACAGTATGACACAGTAGCCTTTATTGAGCTCAGTGAGATATATTGTGTGCCTTTCTTATTGCTGCCATAGCAGATCCCATCATGTAATTTAATGTGATGTACAGTTTTATGAATAATTATTCAAAGTTATTTCTGTCAACTACATTTTTAAATTCACTGTGTGGGGTGCTTTGTGTGTGTCTGTTAATCAGACGAGACGTGATGGAGTATGATGTGTCTGGGTTCATTTATTTCATTATTTAAGGTTCTCAAAGCGATCCTGGGTGTTGACGTTCGAATATTTTCAAACAAATCGGAGCTAGACCCTCCCTCCTCCGCATCTCATCTCCTCCCCCTCCCTTCCGTGCTTCCTGAAATAATTGTGAACGTGCATAGTTCTAGCTAATTATATCCTTGTGTGGGTTTGGCGAACATAAGCGTCAATTTAGAAGAAAAAAAACAATTTAACGTTACCCACCTGTCAAGCAAAAACAGAGCAACCTGAATGTCGGACTGGAAGCCCTTCTGCCGCCGGAGTTCTCGCCATCGTTCAAAAGCTTTGCTACCGATGTAAATTCGGAACTTCGCACGTTCTTTATCCGACTCCATCTTCTTTTTATGTTCCTCAGAACGACGTCTCTTTGGTCGTGTGTCGGTAATTTTTCAAACTTCCCTCTGATGCTTCGCTGCTCTCCTTCACACACACACACCCTTCATGTGCACGCGCACTAACCCCCCAGACCCACCCTCAAATACTTCTTGCCAGTGATTGGCTGGAACACTGTTTGTTAGGTTTCGTGGTCCGGGTGAGACATGATTGTTTTTGTTGCCGTTTGTGGAGCCTGTGGTGTCTACAGAGACCGCGTTTTTTTACAGTGTGTTTAGGGGACAGGCAGCTAGCCGATAGCGAGGAGACGTTTGATGTATGTGACAAAAAATGTTTTGGCCCAGCATCGCTTAGAGAACCTTTAAATAAAAAAACAACAAGTTTAAGTAAACTATTTATTAGTCATTGATTAAGCCATGTAAATTGTGTTTTAGTGTATATTAATGTGTCAATTTGTGTCTGTATATGTATATCTCGCAGACAGAAAGCAGCATGGTGGAAGTTCTCAACTATCAGCGAGGTTATCGCTACCCATGCCAATACCCATTGCTTTTTTAAGAGAAAACACCACCACATACTTTGAATTTACCCAAAATAAATTTAGATTCTGTGCAAACAAATTACAATGAGGTGGGGTTTTTTGCAACAATGTTGAGATAGTTCTGTTCATAACAGTAAAACTGCTGATGAAGAAGTGACAGGTACAAGAAAGTAGCAAGAAAGGTACACACACACACACACAAGATAGAGAGTCGAGACTTCAGGGAAAATTAAGATAATGAAAAGGAAAAGGGAAGTGAAGGTGCAGTTTAAGAAAATTTTTTTTTAATTATTTTGCACAGCCCCAACCTAAGTTCTCTGTGGTTCCAAAATTTGTTGTGGGTGTATTGGATGTCCTGGATGGGTGTGAGAGCTAAATCAGGCCTAAAGATTTGTCCCAGTCAAGCCCTATCACTACCATCAGCAAACCAACCCTGCGAACCCATCTCTTCAATACCACCACCATACAACCAGTACTACTATTCGGAAGTGAGACACGGTCTCCTACAACAAATGAACAGAAACTCACTGTAACTGAAAGAGCAATGGAATGAAGGCAGCTCAAATTCACACGAAGAGATAAGATTACAAATAACTGTTTGCGGGATCAAGGGTGAAAGATGCGAGCAAGAAAAAGCACAGATGGGCTTGGCATGTAGCTCACTCAGACGCCCACTAACACGATGGTCAGATTCCCTAAAGAAGAGCTTTTGACGAAACCTGGACCCACACAGCCAGAGACAGACACAAGACATAGATGGAACAAATGTTGTGACATGCATCATCTACCGGAATGATTGATTACAGGCCAAATAAAGAATAATATATATATATATATATATATATATATATGTTACTTAAACTAACACCATCAAGCGTAGGGTCTTCTGCTAACAATAAAGAATAAAGAATACACAACATACAAAAACATCTGTGTTTACCTGTGAAGAGATGGTGGTTGTTCTTTCTCAGTTTGAGTGCACGCTCATGGAGTTTCCTAGCACTCTTCCTAGACTCAGGACACAGTCTAGTCCTCATGGTCTTCACGCCCTGCTTACTGTCAGGATTCAGGAACACCACGATAGGATACCACTGAGCATAATTCAGCCGATCCACTGCATTAGGAGTAATGTCCAACACTGCATGCTTGTCCTACAAAAAAACATAAAAAAAAAAAAAAAAACACCTCTCACTGATTTCATGGAGTCTCAAGAAATTGTGTTGTACCATAATCCACCAGCAGGAGGCAGTAGTGCCATTCAGAAAGTTCCTGTATTGCACTATGTCTATGTGCCTTAAACAATGTTGTATGTTAAGTAGGGTTGCCGGGGAGGGGGGGTTCATAATTTACTAAAAGAAATAACCCCTGAAATGATGACTTCTGGTGAATATTGTATGCTATCATACATTATAGCATATCATAATACAACCTATTAGGCCTATTATTATATTTATAATTATTTATTGATTAGCCAAGTAGGCCTAATCAATTCAAGACAGAACCACATAGATATATAAAGGCTATCATGATAATTGTGCCAACAATGAACCATGGATTTGATTAGTTTATAGGTTTTATTTTTAACTTAAATAAATACAATAACATTCAAAACTCATCGGCTTAGACTGCATTTGAAGAAAAATAAACACAACAGTTTTCTGTAGCCTTGTGCAAATTTATTCAATAGAATTAGACTTCTAGAATGTTCTTTCCAGTGCAAAAAATTATATTTTTAATTTAGTAGTTTTCCTTATCATAGCCTACATATGTCTTCAGAAACTCATTTTTCTCGATTTACTGAAGCCTATGTGTAAAACGTATTTGCGGCATAGACGATTTACAGCTGCATAGCGAGCACATTGAGCGTCTGCCTCGCTCATAGGCTGCGCTGCGGCAACTGCACATCCAATGCGCGGGCGCCTCTGACGTGCAACCAATGAGCCAACTCTACGCCATTACAGGTCAGAGCACTCCAAGCGGGCGTGGCCTCAGATAGTCCCCGAATTTGCCATTATAGCAGGTCTTCGTTCATTCATAGTCTGTCTGACATAATATATTAGAAGCTATGTGTCTGTCATGGATTTGCACTGAATTGATTCTCAAAAATATCAATTAAAAATAAATATAAAAATCAGTTCAATATGGAACAAGACTTTTATGTGTCAAATACGGGACGATTCCGTATTATACGGAACAGTTGGCAACCCTAGTGTTAAGTGTGTGTAAGATAACTCACCCGGTCGATTATCTGTTTGATAGTGTGAAGGCGTATGATCCCCGAGCTGCGCTGGTCAGTACCGGCATTTCTGGGTTCACTCTCTACACAAGAAAAAAACATAATCCATAATAGCATACACATACACTTCCTGAGCGCCCTCTGATGCAGGACATCAGCATCTTCACCCCTCAATAGCATTCAGTGAGAAGGCAATTCAACATGGATGTGCACATGCGCCCGCATACACAATATGAGCACCTGCAGACTGTTCAAATGTCCCCATACGTGTAACATCAATGTGGTGCATTTTAATTAACTATAGATTGCAAATATCCATTGTATAAAGTGAAGGGAATAGGAGCATCTGTACACCACAGTGACTGAGAAGGGGTCTGGAATGTCTGAAGAACGTTTGACATTACGGAGTGAAACCAGAAGGTCATTACATGAGGTAAGTGTACTTTAAAATTTAGGAGCCATTGGTGGCTCCTGACATTGGTAAATTATATAATGTAATAAGTTCACCCAAAAATTAAAATACGGTCACATCCTAGGGTTGTTCAAAACCAAAAGGGTTTTTTTTCTTCTTTTTTCCATACAGTGAAAGTCAATGGGGTCCAATGATGAATAAACAATGACAATTTTTGTTTTTGGGTGAACTACCCCTTTAAGACAGCATCTGTAGACCTGCATCTGTATCCTTTTCTATATCATGACTCTGAAAAAGCAGCAACTACAGGAAGTCTTTTCAGCAAAAAAAGAAAAAGAAAAAAGCCCAAAGTATCACAAATAAAACAGGAAGCAGGTGCTTGGGATGGGGGATATCAATGAGCAATGTGCCTTTATCTCCTCTCAAGCATGACTGAAGGGTTGGGGAGGGGGGGTTGGAGCTGTCGATAGCATGAACACACCTTGGATTACTTCTCATTACCATTTTCAAGCAGTGTCGATTTGGTGTAACTAAAATAAAGGATGCCATAATAATGCACAGCCTCTAGTAACTATGGTTACTGATGAAGTGAGCTGATGTGACTACTGTATGCAACGTACTTTCCCTTCCATCTGGGTGCTGTGTCTCTGAAAAGCAAATACAGTCATACATGTTATGTAAATAAAGCCAGTGGCCACTCAAGGAATCAGTTTACAAGCTGAATTTTAAATGCGCTACTGACACGGGAGAGCAGGACAGCTGTAACAGCTCAAGTATTCTGCACAGGTAGGTGGATTAGAAAACTGAAGCGATGCGTCTTATCTAGGGATGTGTGTTAACAAATGGACACTCACTTGCAAGCTCGAACAGGTCAGGCACCTCTCTCCCCAGTTTGTCTCGTGCCACGTCTGCGATTGGCCCGAAGATCACAACCGGTCTCAGGAACCCAGCTATAACGAAATAGAAAAAACAACAACTCTGCTTTAGTTTAAACAAAACAGAAATATTGCTATTTTCAGCATAAATACATAATAAATATGTGATAAATAATATTACATATAAAAATATGAGAATTTAGGCATCTGAATATTATAATGTAAAGTATCAAAAATGGAGATTGCTCAGAAAGATTGTTGATAGAAAAATGAGACTTGCTAAAGATTACATTTAACAGTTTTATTAAATATTAATTTAAGTGAGCATTAGATGCTGGAAAATAGGGCTGGGTAATAAATATCGATTTCTCGATATTAATCGATTCTCATTTTTACGAACCGATATCGATTCTTAAGTCTCAAGAATCGATTAGTCATCCTGTTTCATTTGAATGAATGGGACATTGTATCGCGGTTGCGCGCATCCAAAAAATCGCAATAATCTTTGTCCTTTGTTACTATTGATATGAAACAAAGTCTCAATTTTCAAATTACGTCCATTTTCTTTAGAAATTCAATAAAAAATAAATAAAAGTGTAATTTAAGTGATTCATTCATTATTACCTTCATATTAGGCTAATGAACCCTAGTAGGGTACAACTAGACTCCCACAGTTTACAGCATTAGTTAAGAGATTTGATTCCCTTGAGAAAAATTGGCATTTATTGTAACTGATATCCAAAATAATCGATATTGAATCGAATCGAAATCGAATCGAATTGCAAGCTTGTGAATCGAAATCGAATCGAATTGTGAAATTTGTCTCAAGACCCAGCCCTACTGGAAAAGCTTATTTAAAGGCACTCTATGCAAGATCTGTACCTTAATATAACAGCTTCAAAGTCGTTTTGGTGGTTAACAAAGTCATAGTAGGGCGAATCATCCTGGTAGGAAAGCTTGGGGGGGACGCCGCCGGAAAAACCAGCCATGCAAGTTTGAGAGTGGCGCCCCTGACACAGCGCGTGAGAATCACGAAATGGTTTACGGCAACGACGTCACACGCATCAACAACATCATACTGTATGAAGCTACTTTCGAAACAGGGAAAGAGAATCGGACCGTGCTAGAAACCGGACAAGAGTCCACTCGGTCGGGCTTTCACTCGTTGGCGCGTGAGCTTAAAAGCTGCACTGGATTGTAACTGCGATGCTGACCTGGCGATCTTGTTGATGGACTTGTAAGTAAATCTCTTATTTATAAACTTGTTTGTATTTGTATACTAGTTGTTTCTATATTGTATGTTGCTGCACTGGCTTGTGGTATGTAATTTTTTACGGTGCTGTTCATTCATCCGTTGTTGATAATAAGACCAGTTCAATAATTCTCACATGTCTATAGCTTTCGATTACCAGAGCTTTAAGCAGACTTCCTAAAAACAGTCGTTTCTCTTAGTCTTGTTGTTTTTTCCGTTATGTTTTATTGCCGAGCTTGCCACAAGAGCTAGTTTGCCAGCTGAACTCAGGTGTTGTGATGTGTATTTATCACGTATCTTTAGTCCTGTGTCTGGTTCGGATTTCTTATGACGTGTGTAAGTTACTGTTATATCAAGTTTATCTGACTAACAGTACACTTCCCGACTGTAACTTCAAATTGTGTTGATTATGAATCAATCAAATCTTGACGCTGTTGATGTTGATTCTTGCGATTACCATGAGGACATAGTCAATATCTCACATAATTATTAGGACATATATAAGCCTAGAGGTTGTAAATAATTGAACACAATTTGCTATTATGATAAATTGTAATCATGTCTAAATCATAACGTCCAATGTTATGAAATAATGCGACGTACATTTAACTTGATTGATGTCATCTGACATTTTGTAATTTTAACATTACAATCAAAAAACATGAATGAAATTATACAGTAGCCTATACACTATAGGCTATTTACTTCTGATTTTGCAGAAATCATGTAAAAACGCTATAAGCCAGCAAACGCGATAGGCAACTTTATTATTAAAAAGCAGTCTAGCACTTGACAGTAGTTCAGTAGATATGCAGTAACAGGGGAATAACGGTTATTTACGACAGTGCAAGTACACCACAGCGGCTCTAGAGGTCACTGTTTTACAAAAAAAACAGAGAGTGCATAGTGTGCCTTTAAATGTATGAATGAGCATGCACAATTAAACACCAATGTCAGCTGAAGTGTATACAATATTGATACTGATAAAAAATGAGTAAATTTTAAAACATCTCAAATATCGGCTGATAACATGAAACCGATATATATTGTGCATCCTTATCTAACGTTAATAAATACATACATACCCTCTCTAAGAACCACCCTTTCATAAGCAGGGAACTTGGTCTGAACAGGCTGAGCTGACAAATCTTCTCTACTCTTCCGCAGGTTCCTCTTTGAGGTACGTAGCCCTCTGAATCTCCAGAAGTCAGCTCGGTCGCCGCCTGCAGTTTTAGGGAGTGTGTACTGTACGCTTGATAACTGCTCTGCCCTGAAGAGAAGATGGCAAAACAAGGTCAGCTTTAGTTAGAAGCAGTGTTGGGAGTAAGACATTATTAGTTACGTAATCAGTTAACATTACTTTTAAGTAACTAGTAAAGTAATGGATTACTTAAATTTTCAACAAAATATCGGAGTTACTTTTTCAAACAAGTAACGGAAGTAGCTTGGATTTAGATTAATTGACTAATAACACCTCTCTTGTCCCCATGTTGAGAGAAACCAGGAGTAAAGTTACAGAAGCGCTGTGTGCACTGTGTAAACATGATGTTTACTGTTAGAGATGCTCCGATCAGAATTCTTGGGGCCGATCACCGATTACCAAAATCATGATCTGCCGATTGCCGATCACTGCCAATCACAGAATGGCAGGGAAATGGGAATCTTTTATCTATAATCTAGCAGAGTTTGCACCATTTGTAGAACTATAAATGAACTATAAATTAACTGTATTAAAGAAGAAAAAAAACAGAGTAGAAATAGCCTACAGTCACGATCTTGAAGAACCACCAAGTGTCAGGCAGACCAACACACATTAGATCAGCTTAATGGGATGGGATCAAGTTACACTTAGGCATATTTGGTAATTGTAGCCTCTTAATACACTGGCTACATTTAATAATTGGCAGCAGAATGTAAAACTGGCTACTGCAACAAAGGACAAAAGGACAAAACTATGGCAAGTTTTTTTTTCCTCTGTTATTATTATGAACGTCTGATGTAGTAGAGGAACCCACTACATCAGATCCAAAAAATAAAATAATGTAAGCTACTGTAAGCCAATGCCATCCTTCATAAATAACAAGGCAGAGAAACATAAGGAGGCCAAGCAGATGGCTAATTTTACGTCTTTGTCGGACACTTCCAGACGGGAGAAGGAGAACTCATGTTGCCACTGGCAAGCTCCACTCTGCTGTTGTGTGCCCGTGCACCGCGCATGCAGGTGGAAAAAAGTCGCACGAGTAATTTAAGTCACGTGATCGGCGCTTTTGGAGTTCGCCGATCAAGCTATTTTTGGCCAATATCAATCGGATCAATCGGAGCATCACCAGTTATTGTAGTTCTATACTAAATGTGAGTGTGCATTAACTCATCTCACTAGCACAAAAACAGATTTTTTCCTCAAAATGAATAAAAATTGAGAAATGCAAACTGAATATTTAGATGTTAACTAACACAAATATGTTATGTGTATTTAATCTCACTTTATTAATCAATGTCTTTGCTGCTGATGGTTCAATGAAAAAAAATACTTAACAACTTAGATAAACCACATTCTATTTCTCTCTAGCATCACAAACTTGCATATAGTTAATCATGCATTACACAGGACAAAGGGAAAAAAAACTGTATTTTTATAGTGAACTAAACATGATCTCCTAAACTGTGTACTATTTGTATACTGGTGCTTTACTGAGTGGTTACCTGTTCTTGTTGGGAATGATGCCTCTTTCCACCTCCTGGTGGTTCTTCCCGATGCGGATGGCTAACCAGGAGCCCAGTTTTCCATTGTAGAGCGTGTCCACCACTCTGAACACCTCTCCCTTATTAAAGCTCAGCCCGTAAGGAGACTCTTTCTCATATTCAAAGTGTGTTCTGATGTAGAAGGAGTCGCCCACATCAGACTCCACTATTCGCCGGTACACTGGAGGACAGGATATAAATGAGATGGTTAACAGGAAGTCATGAGGAACAGATTTATCCATCCATCTTCTTCCGCTTATCCGGGGCAGCAATCTAAGCAGAGATGCCCAGACTTCCCTCTCCCTAGACACTTCCTCCAGACACGCTCTTCCGGGGGGCCACCGAGGCTTTCCCAGGCCAGCCGGGAGACATAGTCCCTCCAGCGTGTCCTAGGTCTTCCCCGGGGTCTCCTCCTTGTGGGACGTGCCCAGAACACCTCCCTGGGAAGGCGTCCATAACAGATGCCCGAGCCACCTCAGCTGACCCCTCTCGATGTGGAGGAGCAGCGGCTCTACACCGAGCTCCCTATCTCTAAGGGATCGCCCAGCCACCCTGCGGAGAAAACTCATTTCGGCCGCCTGTATGCAGGATCTTGTCCTTTCGGTCATGACCCAAAGATCATGACCATAAGTGAGAGTAGGAACGTAGATTGACCATTAAATCGAGACCTTCTTCACCACAACAGACTGGTACATCGACCACTGTAAACAGTGTTGGTAGAGCACTGCTTCCCTGCTGAGTTTACAGATTTATATTAACACTAAATATCTTTCTTAGTATGAAGGATTGAATCTTACATAATTAAACAATAGGGTAAGTTATACAAGTATTTATTTAAGTGGTCATCATTACAAAATAAACCCAAACATGGTGATAATGACCCCAACAGAGGGGTATTATATCACCCTTAATGACCATTTGACTGCAATGTATCCCACCTATTACAGAAGTACTTACTGTACCAAAGAAATTGATTTTTATTTGTATGTGAGAAGAAAAAGGCTAGAGTTATATGAGACACGATAGTAGCACAGCTATGTAAGAGCTCAATGATCAATCATTTTAGCAATTATTGCTGAAAGATATTTGATCACAAAATGCTGCAACTGACCAATCAGAATGAAATATTCTAGAGCACCTGGGGGGTGAGGCCTACTAAATCTTGGCTTATTATTGGCTTATTAACTTAGAATGGAGGGCTTTTGAATATTATTTGAGAACCATGTAATAAGTGATCATAGGCCAACAAAATAAATACATGAAAGCCATATCCATCGGCTTACCATCTTTCTTCTTTTGAGCCAGGATGGTGACCTCTTCACCTCTGGGAAGATCCAGCAGGAACAGCACTGCTTCCTCACGAATGATGTTTGCAAAGTCAACATTGTTAACCTACGAACAGTAGGGAGTGCAAGAAGAAAACAGGCTTTAGATCTCTGCGGTGTCGTAACTTAACAATACACTGTTTATTGACAGTGGAAATAGAAATAAAGAGAAGTTGAGAGAGAATAAAGAGCAAATCCACTTTTTCTGTGTTTCTACTTTATCTTCAAGTCACAATCTCAGGGAGAAAAAAAAAGAGTTGAGGTGAATGTGGAGTCACCCTTGACCAAATGGAAAGGGAAAACAATGAGCTGGGAGACTCCCTGTGAGGCAGGGCCTGGAATCTAAGGAGAGTGTGTTTTCTGAAGCAGAAACAGGAACTTTCATACACATGTGTGTACGGACATTGTGACGACCTGCTCTGAGACTAGTGTGGGTGAGGCACAAAGCTGTCTATGTATAATTAAAATGTGCTCAGTGATAAACAAGCCTAAATGAGCCTGACTTAGGCTCACTGTATTACACATAGCAACTGACAATAGTGTAAGACCACTGGAGGCTTGAGTTAAACAATGAGTGCCATTGTGGAGCCGAAGGCAAAACAAAGGAAAGCTGAAAACAGAGGAGAGACAGGCACTGAGTCAGAGCAGGAGTATGTCATGATTATTTTTGCCCACAGCCACAGGGGTCACACAGTGTCTTCATATTTTCCTGAGAAAAAGTGGAATGTTACACAGTGTTACAGTACAGAGATTAGTCAACAACAGATGTTCAGAAGCAAAACAATCAAACACATGTTTTCTTAGGATTAGATTTCACAGATATGATACTGTATCTGCTAAATATGTGATGTTCACACAAGAAATGCCACTAGTTGCGATTAAAAAAACACTTTTTGTTAAAATTACACACACAATTTAATTTGAACTATATATGAATTTAAATTAAAAAAAAATAACAAAAGTATACACATTTCACCTGTAACAAAACAAACACTAGAAGGGACAGGATATATTATTAAAGGGTTAGTTCACCCAAAAATGAAAAATCTGTCAGTAATTACTCACCCTCATGTTGTCTCAAACCTATTCATATTCTGACAAAGTTCATTTTTGGGTAAACTAACCCTTTAATAATATCCTGTCCCTCCTAGTGTTTGTTTGACCCATATTTACGGTCAAATTTAGTACATGTTCTTTCAAATTATGCCAGATCCATGTTGTAAGACCTCACTTTAAAGTTCTAAAAGATGTAATTGTAAAAGAAGATCCTCACCCTGAGTATCTGGTCTCCCTCCTCCAGGCCTTCCTTAGCAGCAGGACTGTCCTCCAGCACACCAGCCACAAATATCCCTACATCATTTCCTCCAGCCAGCCTCAATCCTACACTTTCTCCTTTCCTAAACTTCACCAGCTTCATGCTAGGCCTAGTAAACAGAATAAAACTGGGTCAATTTTCCATGGACTTACATAGCATTGTTCGTGCTGTGTGTGGCTTCAAATGATTTGATACACAGGTATTTATGTACGATAATACAGAAAGCATAATTGGCTAGTAAATCACTAGAAAGGGCGAGTGGGAATATGACATGAGTACAGATTATGCAACAACACTGACCGAAGGATGCTGTCATCATGGGTGACACTGGGCACAGGGGCATCAGAGGGGCTGACTGGCAGATCAACATCAGGTTGCCCAGGTTGTGCATACACTGGTTTTGGCTCTAAACACACATTTCTGTTAGACTTTGATGATGATGTACATCAATAAACACACAGTTCCTTTACAACATAGTCTTTGGTTATTAATCAGACCAAAGGGAACATGAAAAACCAGAGCAAAGCAAGGTCAGATCTGGGCATTCCAGATCAGGATGGAGCAAACAGCAGCAAAGTATAGAGAGACAACTAGGAGAGGACAGGTCTTAGTAAGGTCTGATTTTCATCAGTGGAAACATGGGAGTGGGAGTAGAAGGGCAAGGGAGACTTAAAAATATAAATAAAAATGTATTTTTAAAATAAATCAAATGTACATAAAAATAAACAAAATAACAGTACAAAAATAAAACTGAATATGTTTACACACTATTTAATCACAATTGTAAAAGTATGAATTGTTTGAATTGTCTTCTCTGTCAAAGCAATAATACCTGACTATCATGTTTGCAATCAGTCCGCAAACCAGACTGAATGGGTCTGAAAATCAGTGGAAATTGATGCACTAATTACAGTGTTTGTCGTACTATGTAAAAGATACATACAAATATGTGTTGTACTGTATTATTCTAGCTATTACATTTTTAGGAGTAATGTGAATGTTTTTTTTTTGTTTTTAAGTGTAGTAATTTGTTTTGTTTATAGTATAGTAATATTATATTTAAACAAACATAATATTGTAGTATTGGCTTGGTTGCTTGATCATTGTGTTAGGTAAATTATGTTCCATGTGCCTTCAACTTGGAAACCGAGTAAACATCTACAGGGCCCCACAACATGACAAAGAACCATGTATATCATGGCCACAAATTGACAATTTGTTTCCTCAACTTACTAATACGTCAACACGTTTTACTTATTCGTTCCCTCATTTTAAGCAAATTGTGTACAAAATATAATAATTTGTTCCCTTGATTTACTAAATCAGGGCCATGTTGTAGTAATTCATTCCCTTGATTTAGTTAAAATCAACACAAGAAAACAAATTAGTTCAACATGGCCATGATTTACTAAAACAAGGAAATTCATAAATAAATTGTGAGAACAGATTCTTAATTTGGGATCACAATTTAACGAAAAAGAGTGAACAAATTAGTAAAAGGTGGCCATGATTTACTAAAACAAGAGAATAAATTTGTAATTCGTGGCCATGACATATATTTTTGTCTGCATCTCATGAGCAGGGCTCTGTAAACATCACATGGAAATGCAACATGAATTTACATTGGACTAAAAAGAAAAAAAAAAACAGGGAGAGATGACTTTGCCTTATTTAAGAAGTCTGGCACACGCCACCGGACTGGGTAGAGAAGAAAGTGGAAGAGCAGAAGGAAAGACAGAAGACAGCTGAAAGTCTGGAGGTGAAAGTCCCGACCTGGCAGGGGAGGGATCTGTTTGTCTCCGGGCTGATCTGTAGACGGTGCCAGAAGTGCATCCTCAGCCATCTTAACTGGAGTGGATACAGCCGCTGGTTTAGAGATGCGCTCCTCCTCACGACTCCTGTGGCTACAGACACACACACACACAGCAGCAGTCACAAACTGAGTCTGATCTGATCGCTGCTTATAAGCACAGTTTTGAAGTAACCAATTACAAATACACATTACTGTAATTATACTGCTATATATATATATATATATATATATATATAGCAGACAAATCTAATTTAAAGGGTCATTATATATCAGTTTAAGGTATTCATCAAAAAAAAAAATTTATTAATTATACATGCCAATTAATAGATACTAGACACTAAATATTTTTTATTTCAAGGGATGTTCTGACTACAATACTATAATTCTGAAAAATAGCTGTACTTCAAGTATTACTTTGGTGAATTTTTGGGGTTCCCACGTCTCCAAAATCCCAGTTAACCCCTGGTTACCAGTGACATTATTGGGCTGCGAGGATTTTTGCAATGTTAGCATGTCTGTGGGACAAGTCAATAACAAATGAAGCACTTGCATTTGGTGACATTTCAGAAACTATGCACGTGAATTTGGTTATTATGTGTGGATATTTCTCAGAACATCAGACATTATTAGCTCACACATGAATATGAAAATGTCCTCAGGAGAGAACAATGCTGAATGTAAACAAAAGAAAAGGATCGCAAACAATCCTTGAAAAAAGCAGAGATAATGATTGCTCATTAGACTGCACCAGATGCCAGTGCTTTAGGTCAGACTGTATCATTTTATCTTGCTTAAAACTAGGACAGAATCTAGAGCTTCTTTTAAAACTGTAAATGCACAACTACCAGATATTTTAAATGCATCACAAATAATCTCTTGCACATTCAGACTTTTGGATTTTTACATTTACATTAGATCATTAGATTTCAGACAAGCATTTGATGAGTTCAGGATCTGGACGGCCCTCTAGAACTTTAGTCACATGACTCTGGTTGGTAAAGAATGACTCAGACAGGAAACAGACCACACCACACCCAAAATATGAATTTAGTCTTTGATGAATGCTATTAGCATTGTTATTAGCAATTAACATTGGCCGAATCAGTAAAAGCAAAGTTTTCTACCAAGAATATAGAACGGAAATTGAAAAAGAGAACCCTTGTTAGCTTGGCAGTGTCCTTTGTCTTATTGCACCATGTACAATTTATAATAGCCCTTCACGACTGTTGCTTGTCAGACTGTACGAACAATGATAACCGCTGTAAGCCATGTCACACTGTATGATCTCAATTGTCATTAAATATCAGAGTGTACAGCAGTCAAGACAAAAACAGAGGCACTCAAAAAAACTTGTGCAGAGTTTTAAATAATCAATCCGTGACACGTTCAGAGACTGTGAGCTGCATTTAAATGCAGGATTGAATTGGTGGCTGGCAAAAAAATTGATCGGGAATGTTTTAAAATGAAAAAACAAAGATGATATGTGGTTTTTGATTTGATGGTTGAAGTAGAAGTCACACTAAAGGACTGTGCATCAAATTTTCTGAAACTGACAGAATTTCAGCAGCGATTAAAAAAAAAAAAAGTATTGCAATGACCATCTGAGAACATGCCAAACTAGTGTTTATAGATTTCAGATTTTGGCCTAGGATCTGAAGAATTTTAGGATTCTCAAAATTGAATCAGACAGCCAAATCGTGGACAAAAACATACAGTGTGAAGCTGGCTTTAAATCTCTGAGGCCCTGGACATGCACAAATATGCACTGATACACACAAAAGCCTACATAAATCCCAGGCTCTCCTTTCGCTCTGTTGGTTTTCTCTGCACTAACACATCTATCACACACAGGCTAAATCTCTTCTCACTTCATTCTGCATTTATTTCTCATGTAACCTATTACAATCTCACCGACACGTCTTTCTATTCCAATAAGGGCATTTGTCTCCCTGCACATATCAGGATAGAAATCTAACCCCTATATAAACAAACCCCTTTACACTATGCAAATAAATGATCACATATATGAACACTCATCTTGTTCTTGTTGTGACTATTACACAGCAAAAAAGCCAAAAAATTGGTATACCTATTACAAGCAGAACATGACACTATGGCACTGCTTATATGGGTCAGCAAGAAATACACACAGTTCATTACAAACACGTTGATTATTACGCCACTCAGCTGGATCCAGCTTCAAGATTTGAGATTAATACATTTTTGTATATTGTTCAGAAATTAGGCAATAATATGGTACATTATTTATAAAAATATATAATATACAAAATATATAATATACAAAATATTTTATTTTTACATTTTTATTCATTTTAATTAATTTAATCCATTAAACTGACACATTTTAGGTTCACCTTTCTTTCCCAATGCAGTTTTAAAACACATAATTCTACATGTACTATTATTTCTTATTTCCTTTATTATGTTTATAAAGCACTATGAATTACCATAGTATATGAAATGTGCTATATAAATAAACTCACCTACCCTAAACTAAGACAACACTGAAACAACACACTTGACTGCTCTTGAGAAACTATGTGTAGAGGAGAGAGATTAAAAAGCTGATGGCACAGACAGAGGGGAGAGAGAGTATCTCTGTGACTTGTACTGCAAGGGAAAACCCATCTGGTGATGCAAATTTCAGAGGGAATTGTGCCGTCTCTTGTGTGCCAAGGTTAATGAACACACATGCAGGAAAATTAATTCAGGCCCATTTCTACATAACAGCCTTGACACCCACTGGCAGTTTCCACAAACACACACTCGTACACAAAGAGCTAGTTGCCTCTGCACTACCAGCTAAATGTGACAAAATGCATGCTGATTTCACAACAAGCACATATTAATAAACATAAAACCTAAATCATCTACATTGAATACAAGACCCACACAATGTAAAACAATAACAAAATGCACAAAAACAATAATATTCATGCACTCCATTCTCCTTCTACAAATATTATTTACTGTTTACAGACTACAGAGCACAGTGGGAGCATTCTGGTGAGAAAAGAGCCCATCATAGGCTCATAGATCATAGAGACAGAGCAGTTATTCCGTGGCGAATGAGTGAAGCATGGCTCTGAGTAGGGCTGGGCGATATATCGAGTATGTACGATGTATCGTTATATTTTTTTAAACGATATGGAATGAGGCAATACCGTTTATATCGATACAGTTCAGTAGTTTGATATGAGCACATCTGAAAAATAGCGGAGGTTGCAGTGTGAGCTGCTGCAGTGAAAGTAGCTAGTAGGCTACGTAGTACAATTTGTCCTAAACATGACACAAGCTTATATTAATTGCGTCAACATCACTTTGATATAGTTAACAAGTTTAAGGCAGCTTGCCGCCCTGTCAAATGCTCTGACAGACACTGTTGCTGACTGACAGATATAGCTACTTGCGCTGTTTAATGCGTTTGAGATGTGGTGCTTTCCTCAGTGCTCAACTTACATTTCACAGGTATATTCTCCGTCTGTAAATGTTAGAAAGTAAAGCAAATATGTCCATTTCACAACATATATGTCCATGTCAGAAGAGGACGAGCTTCTGCAAGCGAATCTCCGCTAAAATTCATGCTTCCTTGAACGATCGCCGGCGCGCGCATGCGCGTGAATAGTACTACGTAGTACGCAATAATTCTGACTAAAATAAACATATTGCTAAAATATTTGTTGTTGGAGAAAATAAATGTGCCATATGTGGAATTTTAAACCTACAAGTATATATTTTTAATGAAAGTGAAAGTGATTATAATGGGGTAATCAAATGCAGGCTAATATAATTAGTTTGTGCTTTTGTTTTTATTTTCATTTTTAGTTTAGCTTTTAGTCAATATAAAAACAAAAGCTTTTTGCACATAATATATTGCATAGCCTATATTATATTTGTTTCCATATCCTTCAATATCAACATTGTTTGTAGGATATCATTGGGCCGAATGTGAATATATATATATATATATATATATATATATATATATATATATATATATAAATATAAATATAAAGATTTTCTTTATCTAAATAGAAAACGTAGAAAGTACCGAGATATATATCGTATATCGCCATTTGACCAAAAAATATCGAGATATGATTTTTTGGCCATATCGCCCAGCCCTAGCTCTGAGATATTAACCTGGCTCACTGACAAACATGTTCATCATCCCCCAAAATGCCTCTGAATCTAGCAGTCCGAGCCCAGTAAATAGCTTTTTAGACCATCAGTTTTTTTTTAGTAAAACCCAAGAGCATTACCACGGTTAATCATCCAGATAGTCAAGAGAGACAACAGTCAGTTTATACTGTATATTACATACACAACACTACTAGTAAAAAGTCTGGGGTTGGTGAGATTTATAACTATGAGATATTGTTAAAATGTAAAACTTCTATTTTAATCATTTTAACATACAATTTATTCCTGTGGTGGAAAAGCTATATTCTCAGCTGCCATTCCTCTAAAATCTGAAGGATCATGTGACACTAAAGACTATTCTAATATGCTGAATAAACATCTTTTATTATTATCCATGTTGAAAACAATTGTGCTGCTAAATGTATTTGTCGAAATATGTGACACTTTTTACCCACGATTCTTTAGTGAATAGAAAGTTTAATAGAACAACATTTAAATGGCTCTTTTGTAATTTTATAAATGTCTTTGCATCCTTGCTGAACAAAAGTATAAACTCCTTGCTTAAACAAAAAAACAAGGAAGTGAATGTTTAGTGTAAATCTGTGCCAGCCCAAAACGTCTTGGTTCCACCCAAGGCTTTTTACCCATCTTAGGGAGCTTTTCTTGCCATTGTTGCCTTTGGCTTACTCAATACCTGTAGGTTTCTTTAGGCACCTTACTATTCTTTGCTAAGCTGCTTTGGAACAATGTGAAATGCGCAAGAAAATGTTATTGACAGAAAACTGAATAGACTTTAGCTCTTGTACTTTCATATTCACTATCATTCACTATCAGGAGATTGATGATTCTACTACTTGCAACTGTCTACGAGTGCAAAGTTAAGGCAGACTACATACTGTACATTACACACACACACATAAAATTGCTACTGCTGTGGAAATTCTGAAACATAAAAGCCATCAGTGTCTTGTTGAGGTGAGAGAGCCGATAATGAGGTGTAACCTGAGTTCAGATATTAAGTGAGACGCAGCTCTAGACAGACAGGTGGAGGATGTGTGAGGACGCGAGGTGTGAAATTTCATTAAAATACAGCCTGCAGCAGTGTGGGGATGTGGGGTGTAGAGAACAGCTGCTTTAATGGCAGGAAGGATGGTATGTCCCTTGGGAAAGGAATGGTAGCTTGTGGCATTGTCATCCTTTTCATCCCTGTGTCTTTACATACTCGCAGTTCCTGTAAACACCATCTCGTGCCCTTTCTTTATGACTTCCACCTGTTTTACATACTCCACTTGTCCTCTCTAAAGATTTCCCCTGGCACCCTTCCACTACTTACAAAAATGTACTACGGAGTCTGCCATAATACCATAACATAATGCCATTACTACTGTTGATATAATGATGCAGTATAAAATTAGAAATTAATCAGATTTTTTATTTATTTAATCAAATTAGTCCATTAAGTATTTTTTTATGTACAATCAACTTGGATATGTAAGATATTTCAACTTAAATGACTTTAAACTGACTTAAAAATGAGTTGAATCTTGTATTACTTAAAAAATTTAGTTTAAAATGGCTTAATTTTTGATGAGTTGAAGCAATGTAAAAACATAGGGTGACTTATTTATAAATGACTTACTGATTATGCATTTAGTGTAATTAAACAATCACACATCTAATTTGTAATAAATGAAACTATTTAAGAGACATTACATTATTGAGGCTGATAAATGAAGTAGATGTTACAAAAAGTGGATTGATGCACAATAAGAACAATAAATTGAAAGTTTCAAGTTTGTTTGTTTTTTTGTAACAATAACTGTAGTAACTAGTATTTAGATAGAAATTTTAGTTTTAGTAAATTTCTGAAAATAACTATTTTTTGCAAATACCTTATATTAGTGGAGTCCAGACTACATGTTGTGTACTTGTAGCTTATCCACATTGTGTGCCCACAATAGATGCTGGCACACTCAAAACACTTTATATCAGAGAAGCCCTAAGCGTTTTAATAAATAATTATGGCCCTTCAAAACTTCTTTTTTTTTCCTGCAGTTTCGGACAAATATTTTTGGTTCTTGAAATATCGGTGCATTATTACATTGTATGTATCATGATACTTTATAATATTACCACATAATATGTTATAAAACAAGCTTCATTTGTGGTTTTTACTGGTCTGTAGCATCACAGAACAGTTATCCATATACAAACACACTGATTCTTGTCCTTCATTGTCTCTCTTATGCAAACACACACAAACAAAACCGTCAGACCACAGTGTCATTACTTCTCAGTGCACACGTCTAAAGTGCATGAGCTCAGCTCTACAGTAGTGTCAAACTGGGTTACAGTCAGCCAGCTCACTGCACCATGACCAACACTTACCCTCTCTTGTGAGTGCAGCCAAAACGAAACGAAATAATAAATATTTCACGCAAATACAAATAAAATGACAGAAGGTGTATTTGTTAAAGCGAATCTACAAGTGTACAAATCAGACCTATCTGCTTCACTAATTATTCTGATTCATATATTATTAACGACACTGGACACAAGCTCAGGGGTGAGGACACCCTGAAACCTGAGACTGACATCAACCAGAATGATGTCACTGTTCTAGCTATACCGGAGGACCAAATAGTATATATTGATTTCCCTAAATTAGGGAGCCGGGATGAGGATAAAAAGGGTTTGAATTAAGGGTCTTGAGTGAAAAAAATAGTCCTTTATAGAACTTTGCCGGCTATTGATACCTCAGGTTTTTTTTATTTGGTTAATGTAAGCATTTCAGATGCCTCTTACCTGCCGTTGCTCATTTGCTGCGGAGAATGGCCAGAGATGTCAGAGGGCTCCGAGCGTTTATCAGGGGAGCGGGATCTACTGCGACGGGTGCGCTCATGGGAATGATCTGATGCCAGTGAATGAATTTCTGAAATGTCTGTTAAAACAAATCATGACTTTTAAGTATCAAGTTAGCCAAAGTTGACTTTCCTTTAGACAATGGCAAAAATCCTAAAATAAAAAATAAAATAAAATGGACACAATAACACAATAAAATATGACCTTAAGTCTAAACTTAACAATTTCAGATCTACATGTTTAGCATAGATAATCTCACCATCTCTGTCTGAATTAGCGGAGGGAATGCTATTGTCCAAATCTGGAATGTTGAGGAGTGTGGCCCTCTCATCTCTCTGCACCACCATCTTCAGCTTGCCTTTCGATCGCTCTATAAGTTTCTTTGCGTCTATCAAAGACAGGTTCTCAGTCACTGTGCCATTGATCTATATTGAGAGGAGAGAACATCATTTTCAAACACATATGGATGCATACGTCTGGTATTTTTTAAAGTACAGTGTTAAATGTGTTGCACTGTAAAACTGATTTGAAACAATCTATATTGTTAAAAGCACTATAGACATGAAAGTGACTTGTCTAAAATTTAACTAAACCCATTAGAATGTTGTCGATTAAATCTACTGTATATTTAGTCAACTAATATCCAATGATAAAACTGTTAGACTATAACAATTCAGATGACTAAAATATTACTAAAACAAAAAAAGCTTTTAAGTTAAAAGACTATGACTAAAATTAAATAAAAATGTGCTGTAAAAATTAACACTGGTAAAAGTACACAAATCACTGTTGAGAAAGCCTGCTGTATAAATTAAGCATTTTTAAAAGTATAACTAATAAAAACAAACAGACATACACACTTAGTGATTAACTTTGCCCTGAAGATAGCAATAGGTAAATAAAGCAATGTGACATGTGGCCAAAAATGGAATTTGTGCCCTGCATTTCACCCATCCAAGAGCACACACATTGTAGTAAACAGAAACACGCATGCCGTTTTTGCTGCAGCGCCCGGGGAACGATTGGAGGTTAGGCGCCTTGCTCAAGGGCACCTCAGTTGTGGGTAATGAGAGTACTGAGACTCAAACATTCAAAAGTTTAGGGTTGGCAAGATATTTTATTGTATTTGAGAAATCTCTTATGATCACCAAGTGCATTTATTTGATAAAAAATACAGTAAAAACATTTGATTTGAAATAGAAATCTTTTGTAACATTATACATGTATTCACTGTCACTTATAAACAAGTTAAAGCATCCCTCCTGAATAAAAGTATGGATTTCTTTCAACACACACACACACACACACAAAAGAAACATACCTCAACCTTTTGAACGATAGTGTATAGGCGGTAAAATAAATGTGCCGTCCGTGATTTTACATTTACGGAGCCTTGCAAGAAAACAGCACCTCTGGCAGTGCACTCTATGCCCTTCAGTTTCACACCAGTGCTCTGTGGGATATGCTCTGCTCCACTCAGTATTAAGCACTAGACTCATTTAGCTGATGACAGTTCATAAATTAACATGGAAATGTCAAGTAATTCCCCCAATTAAACAACTAATAACTTGGTAATAAGTCAGCCAGCTGATATTTTGAAATGCTGCATTGAGAATATTAAAAAGTATGCAAACATTAAGAAAGAGAGTGAGAGAGGTTTAACAAACATTTTATTTTGAGTGTGCTTAAAGTTACTGTCCCTAAAGGTGCTTTAAGCTGAAATATGTGACTGAAATAATAAACATGCTGAGATATCACACTGATCTGGCCCTAGTCTCAGTAAACAGACAATAATCAGTGGACACAGGCCACTGTCAGATTCTCCATTTAGCCAATGAGAAGGCTTTTGAGGCGCTTTGTCTGTCAATTCTTCCACATGTTCACAGCAGACAACCCATATATAGGAAGAAAGCTGAGACTGTGACAGATGAACTTGAAGTGGTTTTCATGACTTTGGATGAAGCCAAATGTTCACAATTTATCATCTGTCAACAGCAATTTACACAGACAAACCTCCTAATAGGAACAAGCAAGAAAATAAAGCATTGGTGAAGCAACACAAGTATTGGTACCAGCGACTACATGGCTATCAGGTTCCCTTCTTTTCTTATAACCATCTTTCTATGATCCTTCCCAGACATTGTTTCTCATACCTTTAGGACGACGTCTCCCTCTTGTATGTTGCCGTCACGGGCTGCAAGGCTCTCAGGAGAAATGTCCTTTACAAATATGTGGCTGGCCAGACGCAGACCATATTCTGCACACAACAGAAAATACACACATGAATGAACAATAACAGACATAATCTGACTACTGAGTAACTAACTACAGCATTGTTCAAGTTGAAAGCACCCAGTGGGTATTGTGCCAGTAGACTAATCACAGCTATTAGCTAATGTACAACAGACTGTATTACACCTGTTTTTACATTCTAGTGTGTAAATCCACTTGTGAAGCCAGCAATAGTAATTAAGAGGTTTGTCCTCTAACTTCAAACAGTGTGTAGCTCCGCCCACCTTCATTCTTGCGGGACTTGACGAGTGTGACATTGGAAGGTCGTGGCGGGACGTTGGACACAACTGATCGTCTGTCTGAGCGTGGGGAAATACTCCTCTCACGGGAATTACTATGGTCCCGTCTTCCGGTGCTGCTGCTGCGCTCGTTTCTTCTGCTCGTGCCTCCACTCGCTCCCCCTGCATGTGCTGCTGGACCTTCGTAATCATCCTCTTCAGTGTCATCCTCTTCCTCTCGCTCTGACATTGTCTCTCTGTCTCCCCCTCGACTTACTGGAATCTGCACCTTCCGCTTTCTGCGGATAGTCTGATCAGAGAATATATGAACAATATTAATAAGATGATTTTGTTATTTTTAACATTAAAAGAGGTTATTACATAAGAGGTTATTTTAACATTAGGGTAACACAAGGGTAAAACTTATAAACCATTATTACAGAGCTCTCTGGAATATTTGAATCTGATCCAAAAATATTCAAAAGTAACACTATTGTATAACTATCCATATAAACACTAAAGGACTGAACTTTTTTTTTAAAAGGTAGTTCCTCATTACAAAATGTCAACAGACTGACCAACAGCTCCTGTACGTACATGAAGACAAATATTCTGCAGTACTGACTCCCAGCATTCCTCATTGATTACTATAAAGCTCCGTCAAGACGGATCACCTACACATCCTGCCTGACTCAAGTTCTTCCATCTTCCATCACAGCCCACTACTCACATCTGAAGTCCAGATGAGACTCAAGGTTGTACAGGACTGATGCAATGAACGAAGTATGATGTGACAGTGTTAACTTACAATTTTGGCATTCTTTCCACTTTTCCTCAGCTGCTGAACAGCATAGGCATGCTCCACATTGTCCATGGAGACAGCGTTTACCATCACAACTCTATCATTCTCCCTGTAGACAAAAATAAATATTTTTGTGAAGAAAATAAAAATACATATGAAGAGTTCAGATGCAAAAGCCTCTAAATGCCATTTGAAATTTACTTCTAAAATTACCATTTTTATCAAGCTTGTATATTTAAGTTCAGTAATTTCACTTAAATGACAAATAATAGGTAATCTTCATTGCCATTTAAGGGAAATTACTGAACTTAAATATACAAGCTTGATAAAAAAATGATCATTTTAGAAGAAAATTTCAAATGGCACTTAGAGGCTTTTGCATCTGAACTCTTCATATATAATAAAATGTAACAAATATATCAATAAACATTATACACACACACACACACACACACACACATATATATACATACATACATATACACACTATATATACACACAAATCTTACTGTAAAAGGGTCTCTGCTGGTCCTCCTTTGAGCACATCTGAGATCACTATAGAGGTCTCTCCGCTCTGGAAATGAGGGTTGTCACGGCCCCCTGATATGGCGATTCCAAACCCAAAACCTGGTGCCTGCAAAAGACATGCACATACACAGAGTGATTTCCTGGAACTTACAGCATATCTTTAAAAAATAAATTACACTGGATATGATGAAATGTAGATAACTCTCAGTGTGTGTGTGTGTACTGTCTGGCAGCTTTTCAATCTCCCATGTGTCAGTAGCTCTCAGCCCTCAATCTTGCACTCAAGGCAATCAATCAAAAAGAAAGGCAGATGAGAGTGAAAAGGTAGAGAATGACAGACAAACTCCAGACAGATGGCCAGAGCTCTGTTCAGAGCCTTTTCCTGATGTCACTGGGTGTCTTCACACAAGCGTACTGGTCTGTTCTACCTCTCACTGCCATCCAAACCATCTGGCTTGTGAGTGTCCTCTAAACAAACAGCTATAAATCATATTAAGAGGCAGAGCAGGGGAGGAGCACATATGGGAGAAGAATAGTCTTGTTTATTTTGTGTATTGTAAGTTGTAACAGAGGCAGCCATGTAATACTGTTAGCCAGCTAAAGAGATTCCACCTATAATAAAGCCCCCAGTAAAAGGCTTAGTGCTCATACATCTGTTATCTTGTCTAGGATGTCAGCACATCAAAAAAAGGGTCACAGAGGGACTGACTGAACTGAAGTGTAATACAGACATCATGTTATGAAACTGATCCAAGATTTGTGACCACAATTTTCTGACTCTTACAGATGGGGGTGGGGGGTCTCTCTAGTTCAGATGTGTTTGAGCCTAGGAACATGCAGGATGAGGAAAAGGAACAGGAAGTGGAGCAGAGCAGAAATTTTGTCTCACACACTACTTCCTGCCATCTGGGGGATCGGCTATTGTGTACTCAATGACCACACATCCTGTAACTAGCCATCCCAAAAGAGAAGAGAGGGGAGAGAGAGGAAAGACAGAGAAAAGGAGAATGGGCTGCACTGATTTTAAAAATCCAAGCTAATAATTAGTTTCGAGATAAATGGCTAGAATTCGCATTATAAACTAATTTGACTAAAAATATTTAATATAGTTAAATAATAAATCAACTAAAATCAATCATTTTATATAAATTAATCAAACAATTATTTTAAGATTTGCTAAAGATTACATTTAACTGTTTTTAAAGCATTAGAAGATGGCATTTGGATTTGGCAGATGATGGACAATTAAATACTTAATTTTGACTAATACTGAAAAATAAATAAAACATAATTAATTGCTAATATTGCTTAACCAATAGGATACTGAAGCCTGAAGATAGATAGGGAGAAAGAGGAGTGGTGAAGTAGAGGGGAGGAAAATTGCCGCACCAACCAAGTGAGAGACGGTTCGACACTCACCCTGTGAAGAGTCACTGTGTGCTGTTCCCATATTACAGTTTCCTCCATTGTTGTACTCTGTGAGAAAGACATAGAAAAAAAGTCAGTTACGACAAAGTCTAAGCAGAGAGAATGAGTTTGTAGTATCAGGTATTTTTATGGCAAGAGGTGATTTTACTCTGACCTCTATGAGCTGCAGGAGTTCAGCATATTTAACAAACCAGTTCTCTTTGCTTGAACTCAATCTGTATATGTTGGTCTGGCTATCACAGGGCTAAACAGTGATGCCATGAGCGCTGAAGGCACACACCCCACACATAAACTGAAGCAACAACACTACAAACACTGGAAAAGCTATAAACAGAATCTGCAATCCTTATTTTAGCACAGGGCCATAAATGAGGCCTGTAAACTCAAAGTGCAAACCAAGTTAGGTTCCTTTATCATTGAAATTTCATATAATTTTACAGCATGCTGATGCTGCTCCTAATAAAAGCATGAGATTAAAGTCTGACACTATTAAAAAAAATTCATATAGGGCTGGGTATCGATTACTACAGATGTCCCAATTCGATTCCGATTCGCAAGATCTCAATTCGATTTGAGATTTTCATTGGCCCCACCATAAATATTATAGTGGAGAATATTTGTGGAAATAAATTTGGTTAAAAAAAAAAAAGAATTTTGAGGATCGATATCGAATCAACTCCATTTTTAATAAATATCTTTCCCCAGCTCTAATTACATATGGGTTATAAAACAGGGGAAAATGCCATCAAATAAGAACAGAATGACATGATCACTCACTATAAAAACACCTGACCAGAATGCCCCACTTTTCCTGACTGACCAATCAGATGACAGCTGTCCAACTCAAGCTTGAACATAAGAACATGTCACTGCCTTGATGCAAACATCATATGAACAAACTGCTACAAAATGAACAATCTGCCCTGATAGAATTTAGATGAGAAAGAGGGAGTGATAATACCTTCTGCTCTTTCTCTCCTTGTCTTTTATTTATATCTGTAACCCTGAGCTAGGGTGAATGGTTTGTGCTCCTGCTTCTTCACCCCTGTACTGTAGATGCCAGGCTGGATAAATTATTACAGCATGTCTGAGAGCTCTTAAACAGACTCAAGCTCTAATGGTTCACACTGCATTTGTCTCATTTGCAACTATTAAATTGTAATATATCACAGACAAATACAAAGGTCTGACCTTACTAATGAATTTAAGTGAAATGCCTGTTATTTTGTCATGTTCTTCTAATTTATTACATTTCACCAATTGCAAATTATAATAGTAGAAAAAGAAAAAAAGGAAAACATAAATAATAATTAAAATGATACATATTTAATACATTAAAATGGACAGTCATAAAAAAAATGTTTTTCTGTTAGATTGTTTTCTGTTTTCTATCATCTACCCGTCTAAAATATATAATTACCCATCATTTTAATTATCATACTTTAATGATAAGACATTAGCTTTTGTTTTCATTCACATTTTCATTTTTAATCATGAACTTACAGGATCAGCATAGGCATAAATAATATTTATGAAAAGAACAGATGAAAAGTGACTTTAAATGTTCGACACCACATGACAAAGGAGATGAATGTTTTATGCAGTAACAGCGGAGGCCGCTAAAACGCAACCTTTGTGCCTGAACAGGCAAATATGAAAAGCACAATATTACAAAATATAATTACTATTAAAATATCAACAAAGCATGTAAAAAAATAATTTAACTGAACTAAACTCAATCAACTTTCTGTATGCTGCCTGAACTTAAAGGGTTAGTTCACCCAAAAATGAAAATTCTGTCAGTATTTACTCTCCCTCATGTTGTTCCAAACCTCTATGTGTTTATTTTTTCTTCTGAACACAAAGGAAGATTTTCGGAAGAATGTTTTAATAAAACAGATCTCATTCCCCATTGACTACAATAGTAGGAAAAAATACATACTATGGTAGTCAATGGGGAATGAGATCTGTTTGATTAAAACATTCTTCCAAATATCTTCCTTTGTGTTCAGCAGAACAAATAAACACATAGAGGTTTGGAACAACATGATGGTGAGTAAAAACTGACAGAATTTTTGGGTGAACTAACCCTTTAAACCTTCCTCTTGGTCTTCATGGACTTAAACTAGATGCTCGCCTGCGCTGGTGACTGATAAACGATTCTTCACACCAGTCCCTCTTTTATCAACATCGCAACTATTAGGCCGTTTGAAGAAACTTTTAACAGTTGACATTTTTGCAATTGTAGCATTGACTAAAGCCACTAAAGATTCACAAAGACGTCATACACTGAGATCAAAGATGAAACAATACTAGTTCATAGCTAACTTATATGCATGCTTGCCTCCAAACTGGATAAGGGTGTTTTTACAGCTACATCAGTGTAATCTGTCAAAATGATGAACGGCCTTTGGATTCAGAGAAGATTATCAATGATGGAAATATAACATTCACATATAGCCTAAAGATTTCACAACAGAGCAACTTCAGTCTCTGAAAGAAATATGTATTTACACAAGTAGGCCTCAACCTTCAAAAAATAAATAAATAAATCACAAAACGAACACAAGGAAGAATATTTATATGCATCAATATAACACTACAATAAAACATGTTAATGTGCCAAAAATAGACAAAGTCTTTGGTCAAATAAAAAATATTGCAATATTCATAGTTCTGCTTAATTCTAGAATACCACCAAAACGGGAACACTGTATACATCATCCACCCCTAGTGTGCTTTCGTTTAACCCTCTGACCTGTTTACCACGCTGCTTAGCAAACACTTCATTCATGGTCCTAATTGGGACAAGGGCGATATTCAGTTCATGCCCCCATTTCTACCCCTCTTTCTAATGGTCAGACTTTATTGTGAGAGAATCTGACCCAATTGAAAGGCATCCACCACCCACAATCTCACTGTGCCTCTCTCCCCTCCTCTGACCCCTGTCCACAAATTCCTTTTATGTATCTGTAGGGTCAGAGGTGCTGAATTCATCGAACTCTAAGAGCCGACAGCAGGGGCCCCAACCATGAGAAAAATGCCCATGCAGTGAGCCATGTGACTGTAACAGAGACAGAGAGGGGAGAGAGACAGAGAAAGACAGACAGAGGCCTAGGGGGTCCTGTCCTTGGTGGCCGATGAACAGCAGACTGTTCAGGCTTCAGAAGAATGGCCCCGTTACGCCTGCGAGAAAGCTGAGGCAATGTCAGGACTGGAAACAGTAAAGGCTGGAATACACTACATGACATTTGGCCAGATGTTTGCCCTGATTTACAGTCTGGATGAGCTGAAAGATTTCACAAAAAATCATGTATTGTATGATGGGCGCAGATTATAAAGTAAATCTATCCAGTTGGAGGACATCAATAAAAATGATATTTTGAGCCGATTTTAGAACGCGTCGTTTCCATGAAAGGTCATGTAGTGCATTCCAGCCTTAAGCAACTAACGATTCTGGTTCTACTAAACCATTTCATTAATGAGTGTGGCAGCAATTTTGAGGAATAAAGAATGGACAATAGTTGAAGGGGGAAAAAGTCTTGCATTTGCTACCATCTGCTAGCTGTCAAATGATGTCAATGACACACCCTTCAGCAATAAGGTATAAGATGCCTTGTTTATATGTTTATATAAAAATAACATGTTTATATAAAAATATTATTTGTGGGTGAGCAGCAAAAATCAGCCACCTCAGGCTCAGCGTACACCAAAGACCAAACATAAATGGCTAGTTTCCACTGAGCGGTACGGTACAGTACAGAACAGTTTGGGTCGGTAAACCATGATCCGGCTTGCGTTTCACCACCAACAGTACCCTTACTTGATAGGCGTGGTGTTTGCTGGAAAGAAGCGATCGACGTCATTTTCGCGTGAAGAAAGCGACATAGTAAACAATGGATGATATTGTAATAAAATAAAAAAAGACAAAACTCTCTCTTTTTGTTGAATTTCAGTTTTATCAATAATAGCAATTATAAAAGTATAAGTAAAAGCTACAAAAAGCTACACAGTAAAGCTTAACATAAAGCTTACAATTCAGTCAAATATACAAATTCAGTGCTCAAACATATGAAACTTCACTTAGCCTTCTGCCAAAACTACTGGCCAGGGAACGAATTATAGATTCACGAGACCAAGGATCGCCTGTTAGGTCTATACGACGAATTATATCTCATGTTTAACCACTACAGAGACGTCAGAGTCAGCGGCAAACATCAGAATGTCTAGCCGAGGAAAGGCTGTTCCAGGCGGGGTGCACGAGTGCCGAGCGTCCGGTGATTGCTTTGAATGGATTAAATTATCATAAATCTATAAATAAACCACTGATTTGAGCTTTAAAAAACTACATTCTCGCCTGAAAAACTCTTAAAACTACAGTTCGTGACACAATAACAGTAGTATTATATTTCAACTATATTAAAAAAAAATGGCGCTTCTAATGCCCTTGTAGCATGCGCAAGTGACGATACTCTGTCAACCATTCACCATTCTGCAGTGAGTCTAGCTCCACCTTTTAGTACTGTACCACTGTGCTAGGTACCCCAACGGAAGGGTACCCAAAAAGTGGTACGGTATAGTTTGGCTTTTTGGTACCATTCACAACTTTTTTGACAGTGGAAACGCAAATAACTGCGTACCGTACCGAACTGTACCGTACCGATCAGTGGAAACAATAGCCTAGAAATCTAGACGCACCCTAGCGGCAGCAAAAATTATTTTGCAGCAAAGTGTGGTCTAGCAACTCTCCGTTGGCTTTAGTGGAAAAACCAAACTCTGGTCAGGCCAATCACATCGTGTATAGAGTTGGTGGGCGGGCTTAACACAATGACGGCACAGTTATGACGGTTCTGCGTGGTGATTTCCCTGCTACTTAAAAACAAACAAGATGCAGCTGGCGAACAGCGGTCTTTCGATTTGGCTTTGGCCGCGACTCTGGATGACTTGGAGTTAAGAGAACGTCACTTAAGTCATTCTTAAAAAAGGAAGATGTGTTCGGAGTTTTGACGACCGGATACGGTTTAATATATCAACGCATTGGCCTCACT